CTGTGTCTGTGTGTCTATGTCTATGTCTATGTCTATGTGTGTGTGTGTGTGTGTGTGTCTATGTCTATGTCTATGTCTATGTGTGTGTGTGTGTGTGTCTATGTCTATGTCTATGTTGTGTGTGTGTGTGTGTGTGTGTGCATGTGTGCATGTGAACGTGTGTGTGTGTGTTGTATAGCCACTTGTTCGTGCAGGGCTCTGCCTTGAGGTAAAGCTAACGGATATACAATATAATGAATGAGCGCCAGGCTGAGCTCAACTTAGCCCACCAACTAAGGCACAAAGAGGCACGAAAATACCCTGGCAGGCTGCCGCACCTGCTTGAGCGTATGGTGAGTGTTGCTGGATTTGTCGGTCAAGCAGGAAAAACCTGTACTTTGAGAACTGCTACAAATGCTGCATACTGGTGTTGCGTAGTTGATTATGAAATAATCATTCGTGGTAGTAATGGTGATTATAATAAAAGAGCGGGCCTTCGAGGTGGCAAAGTGGTAGCATTCTTGTTTGAAAGGGCCACAGAAGCAATTTGGATTCTCTGCTATCCACAGAATGTTTTAAGGCAGACTGTTGATAAACGAAGTTATTGAATTATCTAAGTAAGGTCCGGAGGAGCCACATTTAGGCCAAATATTGCCATAAATTACAAAATTGCCTTTGGGCAGGTGGACTGCCCATTGACGGATATGACCGAACCTTATACTGCTAGGTAATTCACTGTAATTTCAGCGTGTCAATATAAAATTCGTTTACATGTATGTGTGTGTCGACATCTTGCTGCTACATCTGAAACTATCTGAAACATGATCGCGTACTTGGAAAGAGTCAGTCAACCTCTGAAAACCCGATCCGCCGTTGCTGTTGTTAGTTAGAACTTTGTCACGAAATCATCTCAAAGCTGATGCCGTTATTATCAACGTAGATATTATCGTGCACAAATACCGTATACTACATATAGGTACACTTTATGCTAAAGATCTTAAGCAGGTCTCAGTATCTGCTCCTTATGTATAGAGTCGGACCAACTTTGCTGAGGATGGTGCTCCTCAGAACCAAATCCTCAAAATTGGCAAACAAGCATCAAACTTCTATTCGGTTAGCAAGCTTGTGTGTAATGAAGTCGTTTCTGGGAGGAATGTTTCACAGTTAACGGAAGTGTCTCCTGTTGCTTGACAATTTACTGATCCCTAGATGGCGCTTGCTTCATCATTCACTACTACGAACGCGGTTTAGCGCTGAGTTTTTTTACCGTTATCATACGCATCAAATTCTCGGGTTTATCTTCTCTTCAATGGTGGAAATCGATGGCTGACCCTGATCTCGCTAGCCTGGCTGTACTACGAATATGTTCTAATAGTCATTGAGTCTCAAGTTCTACTGAGACGCCATCGCATTATATGGACAAAAAAGTCAACAAGATCGAAGTACAACGGCAGAGTATGCAAATAAATAGTACACCGTGAGACAAGTGTTCCCGCTTTAGAGGTTAACAACATGGGAGCCCGATCATTTTAAACGCTCAATATTTTGCGGACGCCTTTTTCAAAGTGACCCAGGTTTTTTCGATACAACTTTAGAATGGTGCCGAGCACACGTTTCACCGCTTTTAGTAGCCTATAATAATGATAAGAATTATTATCGTCATAATCATACTGATGTAATCGGGTCTCATTAATCATGATAGGGCCGTTTCGGTCACTAGATTACCCCATTCACTAGTCCTAGTATTTTGCAGAATTCTGATTATTATTATTATTATTATGATACGTAAAGCTCGCCTCTAATGTAAGCGCGCTATAAGTTTTAGGCTAGTTGAGTGACAAGTTAAAGGACTGTTACTGTACAACACTTTTGTTTAGAACGAGAAGCTCATGGATTGCGTCGGAGTCGGGCTACAGTAGAACAAAAAAATCAACCTAGTGGATACGCTCAAAAAGGTGGCTGGCCAGTGGAGTCACCTTATAATCAACATAATCTTAAGATATGAACGAGCCAGCAACAATCTACAACAAATACAGTCGAAATGCGCGGGCTTCTGTGAGAAAATATTTGAGAACATCATATACTTCCTCAATATCATTGAGGCTTTCGTACTACCCGAACAAAAACATTTGTATTTGCAATGCTGTAATTATAATCAACACGAAATTGACACGCCCAGTATCCTGTACAGCATAGGCGTTCCTTCAAGGGCTTTTCATCTTCAGCAATGAGCAGTTATTGTGAAAAATGTATAGGATAGCGCTCTAAGCTGATTTGTCACCATATGCAACCCCGGAAAAGATGAAAAATTTCGAAACAAACATCGAAAACAGGTCTATTAGTGGCCTAAAGACATCTACAACGAGGGCATCTATTAAGCACTACTGAAGTACGGACACGGAAACCACGACAGAAATGACCACCGGATAGCCTCGCATCCGTACGAACGAATGGTACTATGCTTATTTGCATAGTATATATATAGCAGCATTTATTAATCTTCGCTTGAAAGCGTTCGTTCTAGTGACACGGATATTCTCGCTAACAATTTCATCCACCCCTGTATACTTCCTTCATAGGCTAATTAGGTCAGCTCAATAGTTTACCCTCACACATAAGTGTATACCGTGTCGCCAAACTAATGTTAATTTGAAACGGCATGTTGGGAATATTCGAATACTTCTCGACCTCCCGCTTTGCCCGTTTATTCATTCGTTAGACGCACAGCTGCCTCATTGTTATTATTAGAGCGTAATATCTTTTCTGTTTCTGTATTAGCAATCTTGTTTTGAGGTCAACGTCGGCATCACCTCGCCTGCATCCGATAACCACTCGTTATAGTTATTTCCTCGAAATCGATACGATGATGGGCCTACTTATGTCACAATTGTTCGTTTCGCCGTTCGAAACTTTACAGAAACGTAAATTGGACAATTTTCGAAGCGATTGATCACGGATGATCAAAAGTATATCACATACGACAGTAAACGCATGCAGAAATCAGTTGCCACTATCCATCGTCCAAAAATTCTAGAAGATCTACAGTGATAGGAGATTATGCTCTGAGACGAACAATGGAAAAAGGTCATCAATCAAGATAGCAATATACTCAGTTCGGTAATGTTATTTTAAAAATCTAAACAATATTTACTTCGGGTTAAGCTTCGAAGCCGCTAATACCACCTAATATTATATACTACTAATATGTGCTCAGCACGCGCACAAAAAAAAGGTAGTAAACACACAAAAGAAACAATCACAAGGCGGCACGAAAACACTGTTAGGTAAGAGAGCAAAAAGGCCACGGTGAAAGCAAGCACCAGTAATAACTGCAACTATACCACCGCAGCTTTGAAAAAAAAGGCACCATTGGTATCGCTGGCAGCGGAGCAGCAGCACCACCAGTGGCAGTCGTGGCGGTAATACGGCGGACAGCGAGTACGCGCAAACCTCACACACCGCGTATAGTATCACGGACCATAGGCGTAGCATCAGTTAAACGACCAACGTTGCAATTAATAGCAATAACAACATCATGAGCCAAAATGGTCGACGACGGTTTGTTTGCATTTGGCTGTTGCCTTAGGTCTAGGTATTACCGAACGATGCTCGACAGGTGCTGAAATACCCTGTTGATGAATACTTAACCAGCGAACGATACCTGTGTGATGGCGATAACTGTGAGGAATCGTTAGGTTCGATTCGCAGATTTCGTTGTTGCTGCTGCTGCTGCTGTCTCTGTTGTTGTTGTTCCAGCTGTTGCTTCCGTCCAACTGGACTTGGGTTTGTTGATTGTGTTCGCTCCATTCCGTTTCTATATTGAATCTCCTTGTCGCTATTGGTATCTAGCGAAGAATAGCATATTTTTTTAACTAAGCATTATTATTATCAATCAAAATTTGACTCTCTCAAATCCTCTTGATTAAACAATTCTGACGACGGTAGGACCAGCCGTATCAGCAACAGTATAAAATACCTAAAGCAACTTGGAGCCTTCGAGAACTGCGGGGTCATCGGACCTAGATAAGGTGCTTAGGAGCGACGGCGGCGGCGGCGACGGTGGCGGCATTGCTGTTGACACTGCTAGCTTCGCCGTTCATTTCGCTGTTACGTTTGCTCGAACCCATCGTGTAAGCAGCTGAGGCCTATGGCCATAGCCTTAGTTCAACGCTTCGGAGGTATATATATGTCCGGTTCAAGTAATTCATCTTCAAAGAATACAGGTATACGGGGAGCGGGCGTACTCAGGTTGTATGAGATGAGCCATAATGAAGAACTCTCATAAAGAGCTTGTGACGAGATTTATCAGTGTTCTTGAACAATTCATTAGATGTTTCGAAACACTCATAGACCCGCACACACATCGAGCGAAATCGACCAAAACACGATCTCAGGAGTCAGCCCAGCTGAGCTGGAAGACGCTTCTTCTGTCGCTTACATTGGAGGGGGGGGGAAGGTCGAGGACCCGAAATTTAAGCTATACGATAAACAACGGATGACCCAAAGCAAACAACTTCATTTTCATTATTTCTGTTCCTCACGGCAGTACAAACATATTGTACATATTGTCGCACAAACATAAAACGATATCTACTACACCAAACTGTACGCTTTAGATAATATGGCCCATCGAAGTTGCTACAATACGATAACGCACCTAAAAACATTGTAATAGTAGTAAAAAAAATCAGTTTTTTTGGTATTATAGCATCAGCAGTACAAATTTCTCGAATTCAACTTACTTTTTGAATGTTCAGCTTTTCCTTTTTTTGATCGCTCACAAATGTACTAGAAACCTGTAGTTACGTATCGCTAAACTCCGGTTGCAGCGCCGCTGTATCCGAGATTTGTTTGCAACATTCACTATACGACGATCGTTTTTGCAACGCTTCGTCGCTGAACGAACTCTCAAACAGTATCACAATTTGGTTGTAATGGCGTTCGTCTATGATAGCGGAGGAAGTCGATAGCGACGACAAAAGTACACCTTCTTGGATTTCCTACGATATGGTTAATAGAATCCACTATCCTTAGACGTTCACAGCTCGCCTGCTGCTATACGGGTTGTTTGTCGTAGCTGGCTTTATGGGCCCGAATGCGCTGATTGGTATGGGCTGCGTGGCTCGCGGCCGCTTGCCCAGATCACGTGTAGGGCGACTCCGTAAATGGACGCAGGTCAGCGGCAATTTGTCAGAAACGGTGAGATCTTGGTCAGGGAAGACGGATCGGTTGGGTTTGGCGTCGAAAGGCGATGGAATAAAGATCATATCCTTAGTGGAAAAATTAGACGTCGCCGGAGTTCTACGTCCTCACACCGCGAAGCCTAGCTAACAGTGGTGCCAGGGGCGTGTTTTCGGCTTCTGTCGGAGCGGCCTGATCCGCATGAAACTACTGATAGGACCTTGATGTGACAAAATCATCCAGAATAATTATAGCTTGGCTGGACAGAATGCATTAGCTTGATCGAAATTCGTAATAATTCGTCAATTAGGCTTAGCGGTTTCAATGTCGCAAAGCGACTATTCCAGTTGTTTGCTGAGGTGTGTTGACTAGATGCAAGAACGGTACTGATAGATCGTAGTGTAAAGGCTAGATGCGACAACGGTGTCGGCCCAGCGTTTCGCTGGATCTGGCGTACATCTAATCATGTAAACAGAACACACAGTGTTGTATCTGTGTTTTAAATGGGCCAATGAAGAAACCGCTGAACTATCCCATGGAGCTAGTCGCATAGTGCATTAAAACAGAGCAGGCCTGTTGATAGAAGATTTAGTTATGTCGGGATTACTGGCTCGTGTGTGTCGTACTTCCTTCTATTCTGGCAGCATCCAACGGTATACAGCCCCTGCCATAGGTGTGTCGGTCGGGATGTTTTGTCGAATGGATTCGAAGCAGAAATAATACTAAGGTCATCGTGTAATAGCAAAGTCTGATATATTTGTTTGATAATTGGTTTCGGTACTGGAAATAGGTTGATTCATATTGGAAGCCCGTTCCTCCAGGGACAGTTGGCTTCTTGACTATTTAGAGCATTCGATTATTACAGTTTTGTTATAATAATGGCAGCAGTCTTTACTTAAAAAGACTAAAAAAGTATTGCAGATCGAAGCGGTTAGATAAGTCGTTCTTATTATGACTGTTCACTTTCCTTTAAAGTGAACAGTCATAATAAGAACGTGAGTAGAATCGACGGTAGCAGTACCAAACAATCTAACATGCTAGTATATTTTTGATCTTTGCCAGCCATATTATAGATTTACATTTGGTACTGTACCGTACTTTGCGTACGGAAAACGTAAACACCGAAGACCTTAATAGACGTATTACTATAATTTTCATAAATTGTTTGCTTAACTTATTTCGACATTATACATGTGACCCATATGTCAATTTTTTTAGCCACTTTCTTGTTAACATTTCAATTAATTGCAAATTCGACCACTTTTTTTTTCTACGTTATGTCCTGAATCTGACTTGCAGAAGTAATACCTATTCAGCTAGGTGCAACTCAGCAGCAGCTGATTGTTCGTGGGAAAAGCACAAAGCCGAAGCGTCGTAAGGTTCACCCATTTCATTGGTGGGTCCGAAAACATCGGGCAGAGGGCGACTATGAAGACTACCTTACAAAAGAGAACAAAAGCTTCTTGTTAGAAGAGGCACAAAAAACATATCTTGGTAAGGACTTGTCATGTTATTTTACACGTCCGGCCAATGCGGCTTTATAGCAGGGCCACGCTTGTTGCTGCAGATTTATAGAGAAACGTCTTTGGATTCTCGAAACGTCCCGCAGAATCGTATCAAGTGAATCGCATTTACCATATTGTATACGTCATTCGCTCATGCACTGAACTAATTATTTGAGGGGAGCGATATAACTGAATCGCCTTCTGCTCTCCATACACCTAGCGTAACACGTTGAACAGTAATTCGAACGTGTTATAGGCCCATGTAATAAGCTCTAATTACTAGTTATAGAACTAGTGTGAATCGAATTGCTCCATATAAAAACGCCAAAAATGCCTCCAACAGTCGTATTAACTAGCTCCGTATAGTTGCAGCTTAGTTATCTTTAAACCTTATATATATCTAAGTGACAGAGTAATAGTGGAAGGCGGCAAGGTAGCTTCGGAGTCGTAAAAACTGTTGCTTGTTAGTTCGCATTGACCCGCTCAGTTTTTCTTTCTTTTTTGGTATCACTTCATCTAATATGTTTCTCCTTTCGTGTTCGGCCTAATTTGATATTTGACGTTCGTATCGTAGCACCCAACGAGTCCCCGTTGCGGGAGGAACCATGGCCACTGGGTCAATGGACGGAAGGCGTTCGGCGAACAGGCATCATCGCGCGAAAGATTGGTGTCCAACCGATGTGGACTAACGATGGCAAGCGAGTACTTAGCACGCTATTGCAGGTATGCGACCAAAACGTTCTTGACTTTATCAAATCAGAGGACTTTGCTCACAGCCGATTCGGCTTCAAGTCCAGAGGCTATGGCGCACTCATCGTTGGCGCCGATTCACGTTTGCCGTTCAGATATACGCAGGCGTATCTCGATTTGTTCAAAAAAGCGGGCTGTATGCCGAAAAAAAAAATTACTAGATTTCTGATTTCGGATAGCGCTGCGATTCAACCCGGCACACCATTATTTGCCGGACATTTCCGTCCCGGCGACTGGGTGAATGTCTACGGAAAGACGATTGATAAAGGATTTATGGGAGCCGTCAAACGATGGGGTTTGAAAGGTAACCGCGCTACGCACGGATGTACAAAAAGTCACAATAGAGCTGGTTCTATGGGCAGTCGAGGCCGTGTCCTCAAAGGTCGAAAGATGCCTGGCCACGAGGGAAATGAGCGAAAGCTCTGTGCTGGCTTGAAAGTCTGGCGAATCAATCACCAGCATAACGTCATTTGGGTGCACGGACCAGCAGTGCCCGGTCCCACGAATGCATTTGTCTATATCTACGATTCGTTGTTTGGTAAGAAAGCGCCGACAGCCGAGAATCCACCACCATTCCCAACATACTATCCTGATCCGGAGAACCCGCTGCCAGTTGAGGTCTACGATAAGGACTTCCACCGACATGATGATTCGTCGATTGTGCTCGAAGAGGAGCAGCAGGTCAAGCGAGAGCTTAAGGTGAAGGCCAAAATGAAGAGCAAAGTGAAGGCCGGTGGCAAGAAACGATAGAAGTTGGCATATATGACATTAAAGCGAAAGTTGTATCTGGGGGAGAAAGTAATATAGGCTGTTGCAGTGTTTGGTCAAGCTATTTAAATACTAGAGTTGTGTTTTTAAGTTAGGGGACTTAAGACGGTTGGGGCATACATCAATGAAAATAGGTTTAATTGAAGAAAGGCAGGGGTATTTGAAGGCTAGGAATGCACATGGCCAGCTGTAGATGAAACTAATAAGCCTTTATTGCATAGAATAAACTAGATTTTACATTTAATCAATTGGTGCAATTTCTGATCTTTCTTCAGCAACTAAAAAATTCTTCTTTATCTCGTACTTAGGTTAGTAGTAAAACTTTTTCGTCTGTATGATGGAAGAGCCACTCTTACCCGCTTTCACAGTAAGTTATATTATGAATAGATATTTTTTTAATTTTCTCCTTAGTTCACGCTAATTAACATATATATATATATATATACACAAATCTATTTTCATCTTCATAATTTTAACTGCTGCATGTCAAGGCATTTCATCATTATGTACATCATAATTCATGACCAAAACAACAGATGTAAAATATTAGTAAAGTAAAGATCTGTAATATACCTTTTTAGTATTATAGTAGTATAAAAAGCATGCAGTGCGGATAGTCTATTGAAGATAAACCATCCTTATTACCATCATTATTCATTTACGAAAAATCAAATTCATTGGTCATGCAAATATCGTATATGAACATTTTACGTCCATAATCAATCATAACAGCAAAAACTTAGGACCCAATAAGCCACTTTCAGATAAGTCGAATGACATGTACATTATAGACTCTGAGATAAAGGCCTGTAACTACACATGTCTAGCGATGAATGTTCCGAATTCATTTTCTCAAGAAGCACTACAAAACACAGGATTTGGTATCTCTGCGCGAATAGCAATTGAGCAATAAATGGAACTTATATATAAATATAGTTCGATTGGTATGCTTCAAAGGTATCTAGTTATATGTATATATACCAATATTATTATAAACGCACATATACTGTCGTTAGTAGAATAAGCCTCAATCTGTTTTATGTATTCATTTTCAATTGATACAAATTAATTGAGATATATTTGGAGTGCGGCTTGGTTTGTTCTGTTCGAATCGATCATAGACTTCACGTGTGTCATTCTCGTTTAAACGGTCTGTAGCAGTACTATTGTCCAGTAAACCGATTTTTTTTTTAATAGAAAACAAAGTTGGCCTAGAAACTTCGTTACGTCTGCTTTGAGACGCTTGTCATACGCTGTAACATCGACGATTTGATTAATGGCAGCTCACGCAAAGGCCTTCAGGAACTCATCCAGAGTCGTTTCTTATTCTATTGTGCACCTTTTCGAATGCAGCCATTACTTGAAAACAAAATCTCTTAGGTTCGTTTCTAAGATGGGTACGCCGCTCGTATACGGTGTAAATCTCAACTTTCCGGACGTTATTATCGATGTCTTAATGGTGGCTGTATGTTGCTTTAGGCACTAGATTTATTGATGGTAGGTGCGTTTAGCATGCCGTTTGGGTCGATGTTAAAGGCTACCTCGATTGGAGGCTTTTCTCCAGCTACAAACTAGATGCTCGATAGAGCAGATTGTTTTATAGCCAATGCGCACTATCCTTTGTAAGCCTGGATAGTGACCTTTGGCTAACTGTCCTGGAAGTGCAGAGAACTTAGGAACGACAAACGGGAATTAAGGGGTTGCGTTTGACGAGAATCACCGTCACGCTCCCTGCAGTCTCGATACGAAGTAACATCAACGAATAATCGAGGCTGAAGTGATGATGACAGAGCGGCTATATGAATTACAGCCCAATACGTGACAGCCTCCGGATCTATTTAGGGGCAAATTGAAATCATTCTCGCAGGGACTTTCAAAACGCCGTCGCGTCATTAACTACGCATAGTCAGGCATGAAGATGTTCGAATTCTCACCATGAAGCTGTGTTGCGACAACCTTGTACTCGTCGTCAGAGATAACCAGTACTAACACATCGAATGTACCCTCGCCAAAGTCATAACGAGGACACTGCGATTTTTTGTCACGCGTTTATCGAATTGATAAGCTAAATGGGCTATCCTGGGCTTATTAGTGGGGCGCAACACATTAAAACCGGCAATAGTCGCCGTGTCATTGTTGGCCTTTCGTTGAGTATCGTCACACCGGGCCTTCACCGTGATAATAACTTTAAATACCACATAATATAGACAATCTCTACCGTCCCATTCACGTTCTAAAAGGCCATCAAAGGTATCCTTCCGGACAGCGATATTTTGCGCTCACCGGGATGCTCTGCTTGTATGGTGGAAAAACTCTTTTTGGTCAATTACGTCAAACAGCCAACGAGCCCGCACTGGACTATTTCGTCGTCGAGGCGACGTCCAACTAGCTTTCTTGAGTCGAAGATTGTATTGGACGTGTTTGCCTCTATCTGCTCTGGAGCTGCCTCACTGATGGGGCGTAACGGTAACGCATGAAGACATGATCGATTTCCTTGATTGTTGATAATAATTCCTACACTTACAATGAGGAACACTATGATGCATGAATGTATTATGTCCAGATCCATGCCAATGATCGGGGCGTTGAACGACAAATTACTGTAAATTGAAAGATGCTTAGTTTTCTTGGATATAAGAAATTGGCCTGTACTTACTACTGAAACACATTACCGTTTTTTTCTTACTTCGTTACCCGTTGTGTGCAAGCTTTTGGAGACTTGCTTACGCAGTGCCATTTAATGAAAAACATTACAAGTGAGTTTATCGCTAGTTGTCGTTAATATAAGAGTCAAGCCTCCTCTCAACTCAAAAATCATTAATAGCCGTGTATTTCGTAACGTGCATTGGTTGCTATATGCGTGGGTCAAGCTTTCGAGATATAATATCTTCTCTACGTGGGACGTATATGCACTTTTTATGGGTTGCTATGTCTTTGTTACTTTGTCTAAATGCACTTAAAGTAAATGAAATAGCTGATTGTGCCTGCTGAACATCTAAGAATATTCGCCTAGCATCGGGCGGGGGTACACTTGTTCTACGATCTAATAATAACTCCTATTGGTATCATTTGTTTAATAAACAAATTTAATAGACCAATGATATTTTTGTTGTTTTGTTTGTTTTAAAATTCACGTAAACTTAAAAGCAATAAGAAGATGAAAAGTCAATTATATATATCTGGTCTGCTAGTGCAATCTGCTTACATTCGAATATATCTTTTTCGTTACATTCGATTGAAGAGTAGATTGTCTAATGGTTTCTTTTTAATTCCTAAGATCTTTTCTAACACATAAACTAAACAAATCAATTTCATGCTACTAGTCACGAAGATCAGTCAGTATCACCGGGTTACATATAGATGTATAAACGTACATATACATCACACCGGTTTTATCGAGAGCCTACTGATTTACGTGCAACCTCTGGGAAACTATAATATCAAATGTATAATAATTCCCAAACTACTACGACAACAATGCCATGAGTCACAGAAAATGATATACCATCTTACCATAACGTTAATTAGCATGTAGAGATCATTCATTATTATTACCATTATTCATTATTATCATTAAGAGGTAATTATTAAGCGGAATAATATCTTCAAAGTCAATATGGAACTTTGGTGTCGTTCATTGTGTTTTAGAAGTAATAAACCGTATGCGGAAATGCCAAACTTCCTACCTCATACGCAAGTGTCCTAGCCCAGAAAAGCTTTGTATTTATAATTAGGACTTGAAAGTTGGCTGCTTTTATTGGCCCAAAGGGAAGAAGGAAAAAACAGTTTTAAAGATAATGAAAATAGTCTAATCGAAGGATTCAAATGTATTTATATTAGCTGTTAGATTATAATAAAATTTAAAATGTGTGGTAGTGTGGTAGTTTCATAGTAAATTTTATTTAATGTTATACTACGCAAACGATAGGCCCCAAGAAACCATACGGAGTAAGTTTAGTTTCGTCATCGCCAATTACTAGACACTACGTTAGCCACATCATCTAGCAAATTGCGAGATCTTCTTGATCCTTCAATAATTATGCTTTTGACAATTTGTATTCTCGATTATTATGTGCACACAGATATTACATATTATAACCTCACCTTCGTTCATCGCGTGATCACCCAACTTTTACCCCCTGGTTGTCATTGAGGCTACTTCTCACATTTCTGTTTCGCGTGCATGTTAAAGCCATACTAACGCCGCCAGTACGTTTAAAGGACATCATCCAAATTTCTGCCGAGGTCATCCGTACAGTGCCGCCCCGTGGAGATGCGCTCTACTGACCATACCAAGCACATAGGGCAACTTTCCAAAATCGTACCAGTCTGTGCAAATGCACTCGACTGCTATTGGTGCTTAGATGCCAACAAAGAGAACGCAATATACTAGGGCAGTAAATAGTCCTGACTTGGCTTGCTAGCCTGTCGAAGGGTTGGAACGGCAAACGTAGACCCCGGCCTGCTCGGTCCTTTATAGTTCGGGGCTACTCAGTAGAAACCGCATGTTGAACTGCCGTGCATGGTAGCAGACAAGGTCTTATCTACACATACAGCTAATGGTCAGCGTGGTAACGCGTTGATGTAACAACGAATTCAGAGTTTTATTTAGGAAAGAACAGGGCTAAGGGTGAAAGCTTCTGACTCACTCGGTTGGTAGTTTGTAATCCAGAGGATATGTGTTAGAATTATCGCAAACACTGGAGTTAGGTAAGCACCACCTCGCTATGGCTGTAATTAAACATAGAGAGCAGTTGTATTTTTCTCTGTTTTGATTCAGATCCTCTGCTGCATAATTTTCCAGTCCAGACCCAGAATAGTCCAGTCATTTGTTATGCCAGTATGTTAGTCGTTATCTGTATCTTTTCCATGCTGTACAGTTGTAACTACTCAGAGTAGGCACCTGAAACAAATATCAAGTTGTATTAAGTTTATTTGTCTATTAAACTAGCTAAAGTAAAAAAGAATCTGTTATTTGACAGTTTATGCTTAACGGTATCATTATGATTCTGTAACCTAAACCGTTTGTAGTCCATTTATCACAAGCACCATTTAAATAGGCTAACTTATTTAACGTGGGTTGCGAGCTTTCATATATTTTTACGTGATGTACGATTTTGACTTTATAAATAATTGATATTCAGTGAGTGAGAGTAGGACCTAGAAGAAAATTTGCTACTTTACTTTTTACTTTATTATTTACTACTGACATAAATGGCAGTGCGAGATTTGAGTAAACAAAACGAATTTCGAGTGCGAAATTCGATCGGACTTGATAACAACATCAAATAGTAGAAATTGGGTTGAGGAAGTTCGCTTAAAATAGTTTGTGTTAATTTGATAATGTATGACCGCGCTTTAGGCGACAGTCTCCCATATTTTGTAGGATTCATACCGTTATATTACGATACTATTAAGTAATGGATGTTACCGTTAATTGTTGTACAATGAAAGTTAATTAGGTTATTAATTATATTATTAATAGACCGTATACGACAATATAACAACATTTATATTTGATAGGTATAATTACCTCTTTCGTCCCGTGTGCATTTCAGTTCGTCACATTGCCGTTGCGCCTTGTTAAGTTGGCAGTCAGGATTTTAGCGGGCACTGTCCGCGTAACCGAAGAAACAGTCATATGTTTCCACTGTTTTCTTTTGATATATTTAGCTTGCTTCAAATAGAGAGCTCTCTGACTCACAAATGAAGTTTCTGGGCACATCATCATCATAATGTAATATATATAATGAAGGTCGTGAAGCCTTAACGACTGTCTGTTATTTCCATACCGCCAAGTTCTCTTAAAGTAAATCTCTTAAAAGAATATTTTCTTAGACACTATGGAAAAGAACTTGCTTTAAAATCGAATTCAGTCTAAATTTAGGGTTAATTCGTGTATGATCAAATAGAATTATTTTGACATTAAACTTTGACTTATCGTGTGCATCTGGCTGTAATCAATTATTACTGCTGGAACGTTGTGAAAAATTATTCCGCATTTTCCAGTGGTGCTTGCACTAATCATTAATGAATAGTAGTTCCAATATCCACAAAAGATATTTCACGCCTTGGTAAAATGATAGGAGTTAGTAATATGACCAAAATCTCGGCATAGGTTTTCGCTGCAAGCGTAAAGGCTAACGAAAAACGCCACTTACTTAGCGGATATAGATGGATATATAAAATATCCGAAGGGTTTAATGAACCTCAGTTTATTATCAAAGTAATACATGAAAACTGGGTAAACCAATCTTCAAAATATTGTTCTTACATATTAAATCCCTGTAGCTATTAATTCTAACAGTTAGGTAGATATCGCTGCAAGCTATGGAGGTTATATATGGCATTAGTTAAAAAGCTAAATGTTTTTTTTACCAGATTATATCGCCGGACACGGTGTATTCTACGTGAAGCACATTCGCGATTGCATGTCTCTATCTCGCATTTTAAATGATACGTACGGATGGTCAAGCTTGCGTAAGCTATGCTGAGACTAACTACTCGTTGCCTTAATATTACTGATGCCATTCATACCAATTTGGCCTTTATCTAAGCAAAGTCTTTGTAAGTATCATGTATTCGATAAAACGAAACGAATGAAGATTAAACGAAAGTCACCTTGCAAATTAAGAAAAGAGACAGCTTTAGACTACTTTTGACTAATTTTGTCTTTCCCTTATATTTTCATTTATTTATTAGGTTTGTTTATTTGAGCCCTAAATAAAATTTTAAAAAAAATTTGAGCCCGGGTATCCGCCGGAAGTCAGTTATGAGAAGACGAGCAATAAATTCACAATGTGTGTATGGTATGATTGCCCGTTATAATATTATACGGGCAATCTTAGATTTGTTTGTCAAGCAATTATATTCGCAGTATATTCGCGTGTCTACAGGGCGGTCACAAAACGGTTAAAAACAGTTAGCTGGATGGGAGACCGACAGCCTGCGCAATTATTATTTTTATTATTAAAATAGATGTAGGACAAAAATAATCCCATACATTTCAAATATAAAAAATGCCTCCAGCTTTAGGTAAATAGAAACTGCAAGTCTATGCATTTGAATCCTCCTCTCTTTCTAGCGGGTAGAATAGCGGTGCATATTCAAAAAAAACGCGCGCACTTAAACAACCTGAGAGCAGGTACATTAAACTCAATACTCTATTAGGTTGAGACTGCCTGTCTTTATGCTTAGATTTAAGCGCATTAACAGCAGCAGGTGCTGCAGCTAGATTACAAAGTTGTAATTTCACGTTGTTTTGAATACCGAAGCCACTCTTAGAGTGGGAGCTGAGACGCAGACGATAGGTTGATAGTCGCTTTGGTTAGTGGTTACATTACAAAAAGCTCAACAATATCACATCGACATATAGGTAAACTAAACATGTTGAAAAGGTTTTTAAACGCTCACAGCACGTAGTTCAGAAAAGAAAATAGGTAGTGCATCCCTATTTATCTTCAATGTCTCGCAAGGACAGCTATTCTAAACGGTGTTTGAAGTAAATGCTGCAAAATTCTGCTTTTTGTAAGTTCTAACCATGTTTGTTTGGAGGTGTGAGTGATTGGTATATATGTCCCCGAATCAGCTGATTCGAACCCAGCTGGTGAAAGATGTGCGTCAGTGGATCTACTTTGGATCCGATGGAAACAATGGATACTGTAGACTGCACGTACCACAGTAAAAGTATTTTATAGTAGTGCCGTATTTTGTTCGTAACGAAAAAACATGCTGAAATTATATGTAGTGACGCGTTTTCTAATCGAAAGCTAAATGAGGTAAAGACATCGAACTTTCTACATTCAGCGTGCATATTATGTAAATATGCTTGTTTTATTTTTTCTGTTTCTGTTCAGTAGGACCCATTCTTTACGTCGCGAAATCGTGTGAACAACACTTAATACGTCGTACATAAAATCACATAAAACCTCATCAAAAATAAAGCAAGTAACAGGAAAACCTCTGCAGCGCAATACACAATGGTCAGTACGTCTATGCGGCCCATTAATATTACTTTCGTTAATAATTACTGCAAGGAGTTCGACAATCTGAAGCTTGACGAAGACCGTTATCTCAATGCGGTTGGACGGCCTATAGGATTCCAATCGGATGCTAGATTATCGAGGCAGCTTGCCTATGTTTTGAGACATGGCGGTAACAGTGACGGCTTCGAGCTCCAACCAGGAGGTGAGTTTTCCACAAGTCAGTCTGTAGAAAATGTTCACAAGCAGAATAGGCAATAATACCCATGAGTCTTATGACGTATTATGACATCCGAAGAACGATACCACCTTATTAAATTCACTGAACCAAAGAATGAAAAAAAAAAAAGCTAAAAAATTCGCCATTGGCTAATTATTCGTTAATATCAAGCAGCTTAGTGCTTCTAGTAAATGAAGACACAAGGGTTGTCTTAATTCCAGGTGTCCTCGCGCTCAAGCCCGCATTTGCCAATGACAGTGTATTCTGTCAGGGGCTCCGTATAGTGCATTTTAGTCCCTGTAATTAGAATAGATCAACTGGTGGGCATCAGCATTGCCACATTAGCAAGCTTAGCAAGGTCATCACTTTGAGATCAAGTACCGATAACTGGTAAAGCGACTTTTGCATAAGACCTACCTAGGATTATCGAACGGAATTATTTTATTTTGAGTGAATTTCAACACGTTACAGTAAAACATAGTACTAACAGTCGACTCAAGTTTTATTCTTTACGGTAACTTCAAGACGCTACCAAAGTAAGGCGCTCACTCAAAGGGAAAATCCGTCAATCAATAGATGCATAGATATCAGCTTAAGTTAGCGCCTAATTGCACACGAAGTTGAAAATCGGCAGCCCCGTCTCCAAGCTATAACAGCTATCATATGCCGGGTCTGATATACTAATGAAATAACGCCTCCGTTTCTCAGCTGTGTTTTAGGTGATATGTCATTTGAGTAACACTCATATCTACCTCAATACTGTAACAACCTACCCCATATTTAGTGTGCGCCTTCTCCACTGATTACTGCTTATAAAACAACTAGTTATGAAACTGGGTGTGACTAAAGCTATTGTGACCAGGTCCTTTCTTTGGTATCAGAAGCTAAAGTGCTTCTAGAGTGGTTAACAAAACAAAAACTAAAATTTTGTAACAACCGTCATTGACAAATTTGATTCCTGAAGTTTTTGTAGGACCGTAATTTAAGATCTAGATTAGGGCAACCTAGGCGAAATTAGGGCGGTGCTTGTATTGCGTGTTTCCTGGTATCAAAGTATTCTAAAACCAAGAAAATAAGGATCATAGGGGAAAAGAATATTTATATCGTTTTTGTGGCTGATATGTGAAGTCCTTTCAGATTACGCACATAACAATTTGTGGTTTTCGCTTGGACTTATACGCCTTAGCTGAGTCCTTTGGCAACTTCTGCATATAAATCGTTCTGTAATATAACGACCTTACTGATTATAACAACGCCGCAATTAATTAAAATTTTCAATTGAGGTACCTCTTCTGGTACTAGACAGGCCTTTAACGAGGTCTGTATAATGAATAGTTTCAGTTATGTGTCCAAAAACCGCACTTGGGTGCCACAAATGCGTACTGAAAACTAAAAATATTTTTCGTTACGTTCTCCTCCTCAAATGGGGTGCTCATACAATTTATTAATGATCAGGGAAATATCATCTGATATATCTGGTAACCTCAACAACCAACCAAGTTGCTCTAGGCTTATTGACAGAGTAAAAAGCATTCGATGATTCACATCATGGTTTAGAAGTGATAGTTGATTTTTAAATGCAAAATCAAGTTAATGTACTGAATATATTATTTAGTTATCGAAAAACAAACTATTTTTTTAGCTAAATGCCTTTAAAGTAACATATCTCAGGTAATGCGAGTTACGTCATCTCGGTCAGTGTCATGAAGGAGCTGAGATTTTTGCAGGAGTAGACATACTAAATGCTGCAATAGCTTCACTCAAATCTGAACTAGAGCACCTTGAAGATAAGTATTTTTTGTAGAAAGGCATAAGTGCTATCTAAGCCCGTTAAATTTGTGCTGCTTATGGCCAAAATGCGTTATCGAAAGGAACAATTTACAAGATAGTCTTGTCGCTGTTGTTTTAGAAACTTCTATGCGAAAGGTGTTCCATATAGTTATCGACCAACTACAGAAAAACCTGATGACGTGTTTGCTATTTAAACATGACTAACGCATTGGTAACCACGAAATCGCCAAAGAAAGCATCTACTAATAAACAATTGTGATTATTTGTAAATAGCTATCTACAATTAATCTCGATTTTTGGGTGCTACATCAATCGACGCAAAATCATTCTATCATGTGATATGATGTGATCACATGATATTGTATGAGAATGCAAATAAAAAAAATATGCTTTAAGTTGCAAAGTCCAGAATGATGGTATTGACTCAGGTTGACGCTATGCGTTTAATGGCATTGTGTGAGCTGCTGCTACTTGACAAAGTGATTAATTCAGATCGCCACTGTCAATAATCACAGAGAATACAATAAGCCGTTGAAAAAATCGATCATCGGAATTTGTGATGAGAAAAGGCGTTATCTACCATCATGGCAGTGCTAGACCACCTAGCTACCGACAAAAAATACAAGAACTTCGATAGAAAATTCCAATATGTTTGCCATATAGTCCGGATTCCGTACCATCAGAAAATCGGCTGTTTCGGTCTTTGCAAAACCCCCTTCATAGTGTTACTTTTGTTTCAATGGAAAGATGCAGAAATCACTAGTCATGTTTTTCGCCCAAAAACCGCATAAGTTCTACAGTGATAAGATTATGTTGCTATCAGAAAGATAGTAGAGGGTCATCGATCAAAACGATAGCGCATATTAGGTAAGAAACAGTGTTTTAAGAAATATAAAAAATAATTAATCAATAAAATTTTGTTAATTTTGGCTTGAAAACGTTCAGTATTTTTATGACAAGTCTGTATTATTTTTGTATTGCTTTGTGAGTATTTCCATGAACTATGAAACAATGTTTTTTAAATTAGGGATGGCATAAGTACATTTTTTGTCGGCGAATTCAATGGATCTTTTTTGGAAGATAAGTTAAATTTTATATATGGTTATGGATTTATTACTGTCATTTAGTCAATTATTTGCGAATAAATGACAATGTATTGTTGAATCGAATGGCTTTCATAATAAAATGAATTAACGATCTAAATTAGCCCATTCATGTATCCAAGATTCTAGTTTTTTTTTCATTATTAACGAGTAGTCTTTAAACGACGGTTGCTTATTTTCATGAACCGGTACCATGTGCAAGTCTATTTTCCAGCTCGGCTGAATAAGATTTTTAATTAACGAAAACCTTGAAAAGTTTTTTAAAGACTTACGCTTTGATATCTTTGCCGGTTTAGGTTTCATTGATGTGGAGAAATTATTGAAACATCGACGTTTTCGTGACAAATGCAACGTAGAAGATCTCAGACGAATCGTCGCCCAGGACGCAAAACAGCGTTACCTACTCAGGCAGGATCCCCACACGGGTGTCTTACAAATCCGTGCTAACCATGGGCACACAATTCCGGTCGAAGATGACGGCACGCTTCTACAGAAAATCACAAGGGAACATGGAATCACAGAAGCTACTCATAGAACTTCTTCGAGCGCGTGGTACGCGTCGGTAAACAAAGTGCAATCATGTCCATACGCTAAATGAAAAGCTTAATTTAAGACTCTTATTCTTTACTTCTACATTCGTGCTCGTTTTTTTACGTAACTGAATTCCTGCTTATTTTATTTTTCACTTCCGTTTTTAAGTTATCTCTTTTACTATTATCCTTAGGATGGCCATCCGGCGCGAGGGTTTGAGTCGTATGAGGCGAAACCACATTCACATGGTGCCCGACGGGAAGGCCGACCTGTCTAACCCGCATCTAGCCAGCAAACGACAAAACTTACAGATTTTGATTGTCGTCAACGTATGGCACGCAATGTTTGACGGCATCGAATTTTTTCGCTCGAGAAATGGTATTTTACTATCCCCTGGTGACAGTAGAGGGTTCATTTCTCCTATGTATTTTAAACGGGTGATTAACGTTAGAACCGGTGAAAATTTGCTAGAGAAGCCACTGTCGACGGTTGTTCGTGGTGGCGGAGGCCCAACATCAAGTACGATATGTAACCAACAACAAAAGCCATTAGAAACAAAACGAACGGTTGCGAAACAGCCGTTCCCTAAAGGTAAAGGACGAAAACTTCTAGATACTAGCGATAAAAAGTCCAGGTGCACGAGTTAATTCATGCTTTCTTGTAGCGAATTATTATACGTGTTGTATAAATTGTAAACTGCTTCAATTTATTCTAGAAGCGCGATATCCTCACGCCAACACGCATATATATATATATATATATATATATATATATATATATATATATATATATAAATCACACGTTTTGTTGTTTAGAGACGCCCTTTATCTGTTTGTTAGCTTGAAGATAACTTGTAACGATAACAACCTTAAGAAAGGACAAGGCTAGTAATGTGAGCGACCCCAAGCTAATTACGAAGGTCTAAAATGGAGGTTAACTATATGCATGGGTTATAAAAAGATAACAAGATAGTTATTTTTAGCAAAAAGCTGCTTCTTATCCCTGGATAGTTAAACTGAAAGTGGAGCAAACACGCCGTGATGTTATTAGTATATCTTATTATTATTTTATTTTCATTCGAGTATTATAGTGATCGATACGAATTGTTTGATCGCCTCATCTGTGGAGTAACCGCACTATTATATCCAACCTTCAGGTAAGATCTGAGATTATAGAAGAAAATGAAGTAGAAGGAAAGTGAAGGTTGGATTAAGTCGCTTGAATCAGTCATTATACATTTATTGTAGAATTCAAAGTCTATTAAAGATTGTGAGTGTAACAGGGTGGTCGAAAGTAATACTCAACCGAGGTATACTGCTTACGTTGCGCCCCTGACAACCCAATGGACTTTTTTTACGCAAAAAACAGAAGTGTGTTTAGTTAATTATCAAAATACTTTTTATCTTCTTCTGTAATGTAAACAGCAGGACGACTGTAGTTTCTTGGGGATTCTTAAGCATGAATTATTAATTTGTATTCTGCCGTTTCAAACAAACCCCAAAATAAGTCCTCAGGAAGCAGAGTTTGGGCTAAAAATAATTGTAATCGAGAAATTCGCAGTGGTCGGTAACTACAGGCTACAGATAATTTTAATGTCTGTGATCCAAGGTATGTGAAGTTGAAGCTGCTCTGCCTTGCTAGCACATGTTCTAAATTATGATGTTCATTTTTACCAATAAAGCAAAATCAGATAAACGAAATTGTCTTTTTTTACGAAGCGCTATATGTTAAAAGCAACTGTCCATTAAATACGTTAAGACCTATCCAACAAATCTATCGTAACGATTGACATCTACGTACTCTTTGTAGATACATTGTAGCTTCCATGCATCTGTTGACACGCAGATTATTGGGTGATCAGGGCAATCTAATATGAACGTCTACGACGTCTGTGATGTGATTAGTAAGCCATTAGCGATGTCCAAGCAAATCGCTGGCAACGTCATAGACGTGGAATATTATTTCCTTCTACGATGGCTCCGCTCTTCGGTTGATAGGTGGTCTGTTAAGATACCCGTTGCTCGAAAAATAACAATTTTCGTCCACCATCCATACGCCGTCCCTATACTTCGTTCGACATAACTCCGTCACCAATCGTTGTCGGCATTAAAGCTAGCAAATTCTTTTTTTTTTTTGATAACCAGGCGTAAAGCGCCAATATGCGTTAGACGACCATAGACATGGAAATATCGTTATTACCGAAGTTCTCCATAGGTATAGCTCTCATGCACACATGGAAGCTGGACATATGTGCATATACAATAGTAAAATTCAATTGAGAATTGTTCACGACAGACTATTTGACCGTTGGCATATTTTGAAAAGTATCCCGCCATCAGAACTAATAGCAAGAAAATAGTGCTTTCAATCAGAGTTCCAGAAAAAGAATTTTCCTTCTATTTTCAAACTATTGTCAAAATAAAAGTCCAAAAAATTTAACTGAATCTACGATAAACATGAAATGAATCCATACAACGCACTTCATCACAACCTCAAATAATAACAGAAAAGTACCATAACAACGAAATTGAAAGTGTGAAAAATTAAAAAGATACTTTTAATTTTATTCCTGATTTCCCCACTCAACCCATCAACGAAAACATAGTGTCATCTATTCTTATCCCCTTCTTCGGTTGCCTTCTTTTTTGACTCTCGTTCTTTATTATTCTATTATCTCATGTTTATTGTTTCTGCGTACTTATTTAGTGTTCGGTGTTTTCTTTGTTTTTTACCGTAAATATACTGTAAGTAAAAATAAATTAGCATATGTAAGTATGCTGAAAACAGGCCGGTGCGAATGAATTTCGAAACATAAGTATTCCTGTAGCGCAGGATAGGAACGATCCGTCAACATTTTTTCGGTTGGCCCTTACTCCTAAACTACACCGGCAAATGAAAACACACACACACATATATATATATGTGGGTGTGTGTGTGTAAATCCATCTCTATTGGCGACGATGATTGATGGAAGATCTTAGCCAGAAAGCCACTTTAAGTCCATCAGTTTTTTTCAGCGACATGATGAGCGTTTTTCTCTGTGTATCGCTCGGTCGCTGAAATATGGATAATAGGTTCATACATGTTCAGATATTTCTACATTTTTCAGCTTTTTTCATGGCACTCGGTTTCCATCATTCTCTCTTTGTATCGTGTTCTCTCATATATTTTGGTATTCAATATTGTCATATCATAGTCTATTACTCTAGTTGTATTAATCTTCCCGGTATTATGTCAGTTCAGTGATGATCCTATATTATTATAATTACTGTTATTTCTTTGTACCTTTCCGAAATAACAATCCGAAATCCGAACAAAAACAGTACCCTCTCGGTACGCTACTTCCATGCTTAAGATAAAGTAGTGCTACGTTTCGTCCTCGTATATTGTGTTATTTTATATCATTCATATTTATTATATAACATATTTTCAATATTTGTTGTTTACACATGTTGACTGTTATTTGCTTCTACTAGCCTAGGTTACTGTATTCTCAGGTAGGGCTACTTGCAGATCGTATGCTATAGATTTCTTCCTTCCAGGTTATCGGTACCAGTATTTCGTTCGCTTTCGGTTTCATATTTCTATACAGTCGAACCGCTGTCGGTATCATATCAGTACAAGGTCTGTTGCGGTTTATGCTACATTTTTATTCGTTTGTCCATTTACTTATAATTTCATAAGAAAGATATATGTATATGTGTATAAATATATGTGTTAAATACTTTCTCTATGTGTATATATATTTGTTTTGTGTTTCTTTTATCGTTATGGGTATATGCACTACACACCCCTGTGTTTCAGTGTATATATATATATAATAGTGATATTTGTGAATAAGTATACTTCTCATGTTTTGTATATACTCATATATTTGTGTATATTCTTTTATTTGCTACCTAACATGCAGTAATTGTTTTACTGCTCTCACATGTTCGTATATCTGCTGGATCAGCCTCGGAGGTCACCTCAAATCTGTCATTCCTTTTATATGAAACGTTTCTGTGTTCGTGTCATTCTAATGCTTTGTTGAATCAGTTCACATACGGTAGTTCATGGTCGTGTCTCACACGCTTCACACTGAAGTATATATGTACTGCGTATTTTACTTTATTTTACCTGTATGCATGTAAATGGAATGGTTTCTTTATCTAAGTTTCTATCCGGTTCGAAAGCATCTTCTTCTCAAGGGCTAATTTTTGTGTTTGTCTTCGTTGATAAAATCAGGATATAGAATCTTTACCATTACAGAAATCACCAACAACAAGTCGACAACAAGTAATCGTCGGCTATTATAATAACAACAATAATAATAATAAAAATAATAGCTGAGGGTTTGCTCACTAGGACTGTGTTATAATCGTCAAATATAGCGTAACCATTTGGCTTATTCATTTCCTCCACTTTGAAACATAGGTGGTTGTAGATTACATTGTTGCTTATATTTCGTCACTATTTAAATGGTATTTACTTGTCTGTCAGAATCTTAATTCCGTTTCAAAATTACTGAACTTCGACAACCTATATAGGTGGTGGCAATATTCTGAGAATACATGTTATATTGAAGTAACTCTCCACCGTTTATCAACATATAGTTTTTGTTTAGTGAATGATACCGACATCAAATCTGTTGTCAGTCATAATGGTCATTGGAAGTTAGTTACTGGTGTTGAATGGTAATGAATGAATCGTTTTTGCGGCATCTAACCGTATTACTGCTACTACTAACGTCTTTTGAAATCTCCCTTATTTCGTCTGTCATGTACGACATCCACATATTTTTATATATTTATATAATATTTGTATATTTTCTACATATAGGCCGCATGTTATTATCATCTTGTCTTTCTACTTCTTCACAAATTCTATTACCGCCGAATAAGAAAGCTTTTGACTAACTGATGAAGTGTATATATATATATATAAATGTTTAGTTCCTTTTATCCTGATTTTTATTATGCAGCCTTCAGCTGCTGTTTTGACGTAGTGTTTCTCGAGCTTCCTTTTGTCGCGACCGCTGATAATGACAATGTGAACTTCGAAGTTTATGTTTACTGCTCACTAAGCTAGTGATAATCGATGCAGTAATGTGCAAAATTATATGTGCAGCTATGTGAGCTTTTAATGGTTACCTCATTGATTGCTTCGTATGTGTTTGTGTGTGTACATCTTTCATGATGGCGAACCCGCGCCTGATCAGCTAGGCTAAAAAAGTGCGCGCCTCGATCTTCAGATTAGCTTTGCTCTCTGTGTAAAGATGCCTGGTGCTCGAGCGACATGGCTCCTACGGTACAAATATGTTTTGCGCGAAGTGATTATGTGTAGTTCTTCTACCATTTTCCATATCAGTTGCAAAATGAGAGCTAAATAAGGACCCAAGTGGACCTTCCAGCATCCCAGTAGAGTCCCCTTTCTGTCTCCATTTGAAAATCATCATGAGTTACACCTGCGTCATCCAAAAAAGGGCCTTGATTATCTGATAGTGCCACACAGAAGGGTTGACAGCCTAACTAACTCTTCCGAATTTTACGTACGGCTCTATCACGGGGATAAGACTTGACGGCCTGTGACGAAATATACAATACAGCAAAGAAGCTAAGGATATCGGTGTAGAGTTCCAGCTCCTAATACCACTAGGTCGCGCCTGTGTATAGCGGGAATAAATGGCTAATTTTGTATCCTATCTATATGGCTTGTCCTTCTGGTAAGCCTGTTGTTTAAAAAAAAAAGGTATCCTTTGCCTCTACAGATTATTTCCAGTTTCTCGAACATAAATCCTAAATATACATAATGAAAATTTAACATTTAGCTAGCTAATATCGTGCTCATCACCAATGCTCACTCGATAGGTGATATTTAACCTGGTCTACACGTTGACACAGTGATAACTGCTCATGTTCGTATGATCATTACTGAAAATAGGTGACCCGTTATTTCAAGGACACGAAATCGTGCAAAACCCATTAAGTCGTCGCTTTTAATCGTCTGTATGGTCACACAATTTTCATTAGGTCGAGAACGAAGAAATGCGGTCATATTGAGAGCACAATAGTCAAGGACGATTAATAATTGACAAACTTTATAAATTATTCCTTTCAGTTCAGTGTGTCATATAAACATTTTCCATCAAATACACTGGGGCTTAACTTTGCCGCATAAAGTTCGTTTGATCCTCAGTCTGAGTGGCATATTACACGGGCATTAAATTTGACAATTGATCTTTTTGACGACCTTTTAGTTAATATTCTTTATCGGCATGCACTCAGTGTCGTTTCGGCCAGCTGCAATCAGCCACACCTCACCAATACCAAATAAACCCATTTGTTAAAATACATCTCGGGAATTACGAAATGCAAATCTTGAGTGCCGTACTTGGTACGGTGGTATCACACCGCGGCCTTCATCCCGGAATGTCCAAATTAATATACATATATATATGCATATATATATATATATATATATAAGTGTGTATATATGCAAAGTGTCATCGGCTAAGAACAATAATAAGTTAACAATAAATCTTTAATAAAGCTCTACGATGTTTTTTAATTTGGTAGAGAAGTGTGGTAAGATACTTGAACGTTTGTTCTTGACAACAAATAAATTATAGCCCTGAACTACATTTCCTCGTTCACGTACATATGAATAACCTCGAAACGTAACAATTCAACCTTGAAAACAAAAAAGTACAGGCGAGAGATATATGCGTGGTTTAAAATAGACGAATCTAGTAGCTGTTCAGAAGATTCGAGTACTTACAATAAGAACACTAATAGTAAAGATCACTATCTACTATTATTAATTACTAATTTAATTAATAATATAACCAGGTGATTATTGGAGCGAAGAATTAATTATATTAGGTAAAAATTGATTGCTATATAATTGCAGAATTTCTTCGAGCTACGGCTTCCAGATCCAAGAATGACAACACCAAACATTAGATTCGATAGATACATTCATCTCTATGATTACTGATACTAATTATTCAAGTTTTACTACAAGTTCATTTCGTTACGTTTTTCTGGGCGAGCAATAAAAGGTCGACCATGATCAACATACAAGCAACAAACTTAGACAAAAAAAACGGCAATTATGCACAAAGATCATCAACTTTGCTGTTTGTTTTTTATACACGATTTGTATTACCGACACTAACATCAGTTAGGTTTTTGCAATAGCGCATCGAAAATAGTACAACGCAAAAATGCGCGTTCGAAAACAAGCATACGCTCTGCATTAATACTATAAACACATCACTGTTTTAACAGCCATTTTGAAATCTGTTCAAAAACTTATGTGCGGAAATATTATACAGTTGTACGTAACGAGAGATAATATAATTTCAACGCTGGAATTATCTGGAATTCTAAATTGTTATATAGCGACATGCTACTGAATCATATATATAAATCTAACATTAATAAATAAACTAATCAAAAGTATAGGCCCACGAAAACAGCGCATAGGAGAATCTTGACACGAAGGTCATACTAGGAAGGCCCCGTATTTCGTATTTGTCTGATGTTGCCATTCGACCGGAGGGCATGCAATAGACTTCAACAAAATACTTGAGGATTTTATACTGTCTCTGCAATAAAAACCACCAGCGAATAAATACAGGCGTACGGTGCTTTAAAGTGAACTCGAACCTGTTCAATCCGTTTCAGCGTTTGTGATTAACTATGATTAGACGGGCTTACTTTGGTACCAGTAACTCGCTAAATAAATTGGCTATTGTGAGATGCTGTATAAAGGAATCACATTTTTCGTATCCTGATGATCCTTTACAAGCATATAACGTCTGCTTTATCGATCTCATTCTCCGTTTCAAAATGGGGTTTGATGTATTACGGCATGTCGCTGATTGCAGAATATATCCATAAACCTAACTGGCTGGTTTTTTAGCTTTCATACTCTAGGTTTAAATATATCTGCCTCTTTTCGTTAAAGTTGTTCAGACAGTTAATTTCTTTCACTGTGTATTTGCGTACACCCGGAAATGTCGGTGATCATTTTCTTTTTCTGTAATGATGACTTAGCCTTTACGTATCGACGTATTCTATAGTTTAATTGGAAGAGGGCTTCAGCCGAACTATTAGTTGCCCACGCCATCTTTACTGCTAGTTATGTTTAGCAGAATTTGCCACTAACATCAGTCATGATTCTATTCCCTACAAGCACGGTTGCCTCTAGAAAATCTGTTTCTTCCGCTCGAAAAAACGGACGCGGATGCGGAGATCCGTAACGTAAAGCGGCTACTTATTCACACACACCTTTTTGCGTCTTCGGGTTGACGCTTTCATGTATGCTACCCAAATGTTCGTACGCGATGGGCGTTATTGCCCTTAAACAATCCACCGTCATAAGGATTCCACTGACTTCCAACAGCTTCCATTCTTTCCAATAGTTGGGCGGGACACAATTGCATAATGATGCACGTTAGAGCTGTGGTGACAGCTGCAGTTGTGACTTCCTATTTGCCATATAGATTTTTTTCATCTCTTGCCTCGTTTTTACACAACACATCTATTCATTTTATCGTGTGTCTACTTTTTGTTTAAAGTTCCCAGTCTACTTTGCTATCTAAGCTTCTTCCCTAAACGTCATATGGTTACCACGATAATAAATAATTGGTGTGCCTAGTACGAGCCTCTTCATTACTACAGTTTGTGTGAGGCTCGCTGCTGTCCTTGTCTTCATTACAGGTATCTAAATCCTGACCACTGGGTCGCAAGGAGTCGTCAAGACATTTGTGCAATTCATTGTTATCAATCACAACGTTGTACGCATTCGTGACACAGGAATCAATATGTTTTGCTTCAACTACCAGCGAAGACTGCGTTGTTAATCTGGCGGGATTAAGACCCGTGTTGCTGTATAGGACCGCCAGCTGTACGCACGAGACAATTAGAATCATTGGTGGTAATAACACAGTCGAAAAAGAGGATCTATGGTAGCACGCATCTATAAAAACACGTAAAACATTTATTTGTCTAAAATATCATATGCAGTTCGTCCCATCAAAAATCGGAGGAAATCTCTTTGAAACCTCACAAGGAAGCTTTTTCAAGAAAGTTCAATTCGATTAAAAAGACCACTCGATTGGGTCATATTTTATTATGATCAGCATAAAAATGCGTATGTTTTTTCGTCATGTTTTCTAATCCCGTACACCTGGCGACCCTATTCACTTTCGGTCGTTACTTCCCGCGTAGAAAAGGTCAGGTGTCATTATAGAATAGTATGAGCTGTAATATTTTCTAGTAATAATCACTTGTAGCCGCTGATTGATGGGTGCCGTATTCAGTAACGGCATTTCACGCGTCACGTACTAATACGCTAGTGGTGATTTCATCTAGCGCTCGTCCTTAATCATCGAAGGCCTTTGGTATCTCATTTTTTGTGTGCCCCAGCCTCGTCACCTATAGATATATAATTGGCCTACATTGATGGATCATAGGCTTTGGAACCTCTGCCCTTAAATGTTACAATTAAATATACGTATATGTTTGTGAAAGTTCTCCTCGGCTTTCATTGAATAGGCCGGATCTTCTGAGCTAAAGCTGTTAAGTGGGGATAGGATCCTAATTACCCGAACGTGTTTGAGTTGTGCAGTAATTGGCTGATATCTCATTAGTTCACTAGTACGAACTCTTCTGCTATGATGTCACCACATCGTCTGCTCAGCTGCTTGCCGTCGACAGTGACAGAAAGCAGGCGTGGCATACGCGAACGCTTTTTTCTGCGTCGATTCGGCTGATCTGTGCCTCGTAACGGCTGCATTTAGCACAGAACAGTTGGCCACAGTTCCTAGACGAGATACACACCGTGAGCAATAGATAAAAACAAGGCGACAACAAACATTAAAAGTCACGATAAGAGTCGTAATGTAGTTTGAAAAATCATCCATATTGTAGCTTCACTGTACAGTAAACAACGTTCGTTAATGTGAATGCTTCACTTTATAGAATATTTTATTATTATACCCTTAAGGATCTTAAATTAATTCTTATTTTCATCTATATACATATATATATCTGTATTTTTTTTGCCATATATATAGAGTTTTGCTACATACCGGCAGTGGTGCCTCCTTTCGGTAAGCGAGAACTTCACCTGACACAAGGGATTGCTGCATTGTTCCGCTGTATCGTCTCGCACCCAGTGGTCAGAACGTGCTCCGGTCTCGCTCGAAACACTCCACTGGAACACCCGGCCACGCGCGTCTCCGACATACACGTGCCGATGGTCCCTGGAGATTCCCACAGCAGTCACCGCCGCCGGCTCTTTATTATCCTGAAAAAGGCATGTGAGAAACAATGCAGAAATTGTCGTCCAACTATTACGAAGTATTTTTGTTTTTCCTATCAGCTTATTAAAAGAAGATCAGACGTGAGATTATTTCAAAATTCGGGCCCAAAAATGTCATAGGCACGATTGCCGCTGACGTAGTTCAGACAATAATAGGAAATAGTTGTAGTGGTATTATGTAAAGCTGAGTTTGGGAGAATTCGTTTAATATGTTTGTGAATGACGGTTATCGCTTACCGGTCGCTCGAATGCCGTATGCATGGTGAGTTTGCCTCGAAGCACGATCGAGGTGCCTTCCTGGTCGACTGCAAGTGACCACATTCGAAGAACGCCATCGGAAGATCCAGTCATAATGACATTGTCTTTATCCCATTCGTTCAATTGAGAGAAGCTCACACAAAGAATTTGTTGGCCACGGGCCTGACCAGCTGTTAATGATGCCGCGGTGTCAACATGCGCAATTGGCACCCCGTTCACGTTGTAAATATATAGTCTAGTGGCGGCACAAGCGGCAATATCGCCTGTGGAACCACAAAAAAACCATGTTTTATTCAACGCTAATATTGATCGCATAAAAGGCCTACCGATTGTGGCCGCGCAGCCGGAAAGAAGGAACTGAATTGAAAGGTTCTCCTAAATTATAACATAACACTTATAAATTACAATCATTTACTGCATGTCATAGGATCTAGTAGAATATACGATTTAAATTCTAAAAATATCCCGTTCTTAATCGAATCAGTGATAGTGCAATAGTCAATTTAAAGGTAATTACAATACTAGCTCAATGGCTCACCAGTAACGTCGTTGATACAGACGGACGCAACAGGAGCCCCGAATTCTGTAGGGATTTGACGAACAAATGTCAACCGAGACAGATCCCACAGGATGCATGATTCATCGCGGGAGCCAGACACGATCAGATTGAATGGTCTTGACGAGGCGATACATGTGACAGGCTCGGTATGGCCAGCGAGTTGGTCCCGAAGCTCGAGCCGCTTGGGGGTAACGGTCCACACACTCAGGACACAGGCGGTGCCGGCCGTGATGATGGTTTTGGCATCGGGACAGGTGGCACAGAGCACTTCGCCACTCGGCACCTGCTCCCAGACGAGCAGACATCGTCCAGTTTCGTAGCTGCATACCCGTAGCGAATAGTCCGCAAAACCCCAGGACACGAAGCGCTGGTTAGGTGGTAACAGCATCTTGTTCTGCTCGACTGCCAGCACCGATCGATCCTGCTGGACAATCTGTCCTACCGGGCCCTTCAGTTCCTTGACCGGATGCATGGACGGTCGGAGCGACTCGATTTTATGATAGAACAGTGGCCTGACTAAGCCCGAATCGACTTTTTTAGCGGGATGCGGTTTTTTAAACAGCTGCTTCGGGATCTGACCAAAGTTGTTGATGAAGCCGATTGTGGCGTTTTTTTTCAGGGGGTCGTCTATCGAATAGATATCAACGTTGCCCTCGTAGAACAGGTGGTGAAACACATTGACAGCTTCGATGGCGGCGGGGCCCTGTTGCCGGAAGCCGAATATCAGGTCGATCCATTCATGCAAATGAGCCGACACGTAGTCACTCTCTAGAGCCGCTCGATGGAGGCGGATAAACTCGCGAGGATCGCCCTTTGCCCACGCGGGCAGGACAACATTGTCTAGCTGAACACCACTCTGTTTTGCGCCGAGATCGAAACGGTTCTTGTTTACTAGAAATTCGTCTAAGTAGAAGAACTCTGGAATCAGCTCTTTTACGTCGGCCATGTTGTGCCTTGAAGCTGATGTAAAGGCGTCTGATATAGAGAATCACGCGACAAGAAACTATCAGTTAGTAGTGGACATTACATACTGTCACAGAAACGACTGCAAGAAAGCTATATGTACACACGTTATGATGTGGAAATAGGCTCGTTTATGAGCCAAATAAACTTCATCAGAGGGATTGAGGTAGTTCTAACTTTGGTCTGTCTGTTTCGTCTCAAGCAACAAACGACGATAAGAACAAAAACCATTAAGCTACCTATAACGTAAACATGCCAAAAAAACGCACAAGTCTTTGGATATGGGATGGATATATAGGATGGACACGATATTGATACCAGATTTTCTGAAGTTAGGAAGAATACAAGATTCTTCTGAATCATTCCCTTAATCATAAAATAGATTGATCTGGCTATACATCTCTGGAATTTTTATTTTAATAACAGCGTACTAATCATTATCATCATTTTCTTTTTTCTATTTATCTTTCTATTTACTTATTGTCGTTGTATTTTTTATTTGCTTTCCTTAGCTATTATCTCCGTATTAATAGGTCCTCGAAATGAACTTTTTCTAGGTGTAGATAAAAAAAAATTGCCCCTATTAAAATTTTGACCAGGATGACTCTCTGTGGACGTGTCCGGGTTTTTTCCCCAGAGGCCCATTGAACGCCCAACACCTACCTTTGATACTGTGGAACATCCGGTCGGCTAGATCAAAATGTCCGCCCTGTAGCCTGAGAAAGTGCTGAGTAAAGGGTTCCATGCGGACTAGATAACTGGCAACTATCATCGCCGAGGAGTAAAAGGTTCCATAATGATAAGGTGGTGTCTCTGGGTCGTCCCATTCCTTGAAACGTCGACAAAACTGCTCGAGCCTATCACGCGTTTGTGCTCCCATTGGTTTCGAGAGGTCACGGAAGCTCTTCGGGTCAGTGAGATCTAATGTCTCGGAATTGTAGTCAGCAACAATCCAAGGAAAGATCGGGTACTGCATCAGATCGTTGTACGATCGTCCCGCCAGAGTATTTAGATGCATGAGGTACTAAACCAACAATGGAGACAATATTAGTCAGTGTGACTTTGCTCAGGTTTCTTCAGTGACATTTACTTATTCTCGTGACGATACGTATATGGAGGGTGAGATAAGAGTCTCTTCGTAGTTTGCGAGTCTTTTCCTTGTTGTCCTTATTTTTGCCGCATTTTTCTCTTCGGCATATACTGCAGACTCTCAGGATGTGCAGTGACTTTGGCCCGCTCTCTATATGTATGTAATATAACTAATCAAGATTGAACATTCTCTAACCAAATAAAAGAGCATTGGGGTTAAGTTCGAATCACTTGTTATTGTTACCTGGAAGTTGGATATTTCCCCGCGCAACCACCTCTGCGTCACGCTGGTCTCTCCTATAAGCGAGGACAGGATACCGGCCCCGCTTTCTACGTTGGCAGATCTTCGTTGGCCAGCTAAACTTTCTTGAGCTGAGTCGGTGATTCCAGTAGCGAGAGCCAAGAACCGCGCATAAACCTGTATCAATACAATGAACGTCTCCTATATAATAAAGATCCATTGAAAATTAACAAAAAGGTTACTCCGAACATTATATACTTACACTTGTCATCGACTACCAACCAGTATACATTTAAATTTAACACTATTGTTGAATTTCTTTTTCGTACCTTATTGCGCAATTTGCGTGGGAACACAAGCAAATAATTGCGCCCGTCTGCGGAGAACACCTCAAGTGCTGTTGGCTGCAAGAGGTACCGTCTTTTGTGCACTTCGCGAACATCATCATACCCGAATTTCGAGCAGGTTCGGCCCTGCGCAACGGTTGCTCGAGACGCCGATGTTACAGGCGTGCAATTTGGAATGATCGGTTCGTGAAGACCTTCGGGTAGCGAGTCGATATCACGAATCTCGCGAGTTTTCAGTAACGTGAAGCCGTCGACGACATAGAAGTGCTCGCGGCCAAATAGCAGCAAGCCTTCCCACGTGTCTAAACCTTGAACCCGGGCGCATCGGAACATGTGGGTGATCTTGTCGCCTTCTTCGAGAAGTCGTTCAACGGACTGACTGTGAGGACTGTGATTTGCCCCTTCGCCCTCGCCGACTTGCCCACCCACTTGACCACCTTCGGGCTCCTCTTCGTCGCTTTCCGAAGACTGGTGCTTGTTTGTGATTGCACCCCTATTGACCGTCCCGCTTGTTTGGTTATTATTATTAATAGCACTACTGGAGCTTACAAGCCCTTCGTAGACGCTGGAAGTGGAGGCCAGCGACTGTTGACGACCTACAAGGTCGGGCGAGCTCGGCCCGCTGCCTGAAAGCAGCTGACCCAGCTGTTCATAGTACAATTTGCTATCTAAACTAGTTGCCACCTGAAAAGTTAGTTCGTTGTTGGAGCAAACAAAAAACCGCAAAAGGCATATAAGTTAAACAAATATATTCCATGTTTCTTTATCTCAGGAGCTTAGCGCAGGGTTAGTCTAAGTGAGTTGTATCGGCTTGGCAGCGAAAGACGGATTTATCATCAACGACATTAAAAGAATGAATTGTAAAAATAAAGATATTTTTCGCGCCGTTAAATCGAGTTCTTCATTTCTTTACGGTTACATTCAGGGGATAATAGACAACGATTAGTGGAAAATTCCGTTGAGTTCATTATAGGTATAGCGCGTCTGAGTTAGAGGGACAGTAAAACAGGGACGGTGCTGTACAACTACTAGAGTTAGCATCGCCGTATATTACTAATACACAAATACTTCATTGAACGCAAACCTTATATTTTAGCTGCTGATTGGGCTGTTGCTCGATGTACGGATAATGTTGATAGAAGAGCTTGTTTTTGAGTGTACGTTTACGCATTCGACAAGGCCCGCTCTCGGTGGCGTCTAACATCCATTTGTCGAGCGAGCAAGGCTCCCTAGGGCCCCACAGTCCCCGCTCGGCACTTAAGCCTTCCTCCATGCGCATCCACTCCTGCATCACATGCTGGTGAAGGTGCTTACAGTTGGCGTACAATTGCTTCAGCCGCAAATCAACTAAATCATGGACGATGGCAATATGGACCTGCCAGACAAACGAACACGAATCAGGTTAATGTAATATGGCCCTTAATCCAACCCGAAATATGAGATCTGTAAAAATGAGGTATAAAAACGCAGATGTATACCTGCTTCCAAGGCCAGAGCCTTAATCTGCCCGCAATGCACATAGAGATATTATCAATCTAGAGGAATATCTCTATGTGCTTAAATTACACAGCAATGCCGATCTCCTCGTGACCAAGCATGATGTACCTTGTCACTACCTAAGACATTAACATAAATCTTTTCTGTATATATGTATGTTACTATAACGTAGCACAGAGTACAGCTCGTGTTCACTGTTACTATCACTATCACCCACAAAGCTAGGTGACGGTCGACCTCTTATGCTCCGTACCTATCCGTTTCTGTTCTTTTACCTGTGTCCACAGGTCGTACTCTTCGTACGAGAGGTTCGCCACGTTGGCGTGCCCTGCGTGATTTACGACGACTGGACTATTACTATTCATGTTAATGTTGATCGACTGGGAAATCTTGTGCGTAACTGTTACCGTTGCGGTGGCAGCGTTCGCCATAGCCATGCTGCCCAGGGCGACGGGGTCGGCACCCGCGCCACTGACCGCGCTCACCCCCGAAGAGGCGAGCGTGTGCGCCGCACTGGCTACGACCGCCACCTTGCGGATCTTTCGACTTGCGAGACGGCTCAAACCCCCAGTCAACCGGGACACCCGATTTTGAATCTGAGATGAGATATCCGCAGATCCTATCCCACTTCCTGTGTAAAGATAAGCAAGAATGAGAAGATGAAATTTATCGGAGCGTGAGGAATACCAACACATATAACCTTCTTCAATTGCGTAAATCAGGTCGCATCGACATGTCGTTGACCTAACTCGAAGCAGCTATTTCTTATGGTCTATTTGCTTGGTCAAAGGCTTGGCCGTACGAGTTGCGGCGTTGACGGCCATAATATTACTATTCATTTTTTGTGTGTCAAGACAAGATGAAAAAGAATATGGATTATTTTGAACTAACTCAATATAATAGCCAAACGTTATGTTTAGTTCAACCTAACACGTCGCTAATTTTTCTGGGTTCTAAATTGAAAACCTAACTAGCAATAGCATCATAACCACGCTGGAAGCAAATAAACCTGAAGATGTTTACCTTTCCCGGCCTTTTCGGCTGCATGGAAAGAAATCCAAGCTTTGTGGAGGGGCTCCCGGTTGGTCTCCCAAAGCTGGCATAGGTCAGGCACCTCTGATCCACTGCTGTTCGCCAGCTGCAGTCGGCAGCAGTCCTCGAGCTGACTTCGGTTCCGTTCGTACACTATCTGCCATAGTTTACAAGCGGCCGCGGCCATTAGCAGGTTAGCTTCCTCTTGTGACGCCAAAGCCAGCGACGCGTCGTTCGGCGAGATGTGTATAGTCGTACGACGAACCTAAGTGAACATAAAAAACAACAAATCTGATAGTAAATTACATGTGTTGGACGAAACTGTTGATTACGACGAGGCAAACAAATCTATATTTCCGAATCGCCATTGAATGTGGTCGGGTGGTTGACAGCCGAAATGAATAACCCATCTTAAGAATAAACTAAGTGAGATAAATATCGCTTGACAGCTTGAAACAAAGTCATTTAATAGCCTAACAATACTAAAAAAAAATCTAAAATCTATTAAAAATAACAAGACTAAAAGTAAAGGAAAAATCGTAAAGATGAGGGTAGAAAAAAGGTAAAGTAAACATTCAAATTTGCTTTGGCTTATCCTATATATTTATTGATATACGTGACTACATTGGTATTTCTGTGTGTGCTATTTTCGTTTTGTATCACCCTGTATCTATCACACTATTAAGAATACGACACAACACTGCGACCTAAATTAAGGCGCTTCATGCTACGATGCCCCTGTCGCTTACCGTCTCCATCGGTAGCTGAGGACACTGCTGGGCAAACTGAACGAGTGTGTACGTCAATGCCGCGAGTATTTCAGGATCGAGATTTAACAGCTGATCGTTGCTGATAAGAAGGTGCAAACATTGAAGTTGATCCGATAGGCCTTCGTTGGGTAAGCCGTTGTTAGCTGAGTTGTCCCGCGATAGAACAAATAATACTGTACGGCCGAGTGATCGAAGTACGTCGTAATTTCGAATACCGCCATTTGTTAAAAACACCCTCGATATAAAGTTGACGATGGTGATGGGTGGAGCGGTGAGCGCACCCTGCCAGAGTTTGTCAACAATACTTATAACGAACTGAGTGACGTTACTCTGCGAAAGGTTAGATAGGTCGCGGTCACTCAATTCGGCGATGGTGTTCGCCAGCAGCAGAGTACTAAACTGACGTTGTTGTTGTAACGAACTTGCCAAATACTCGATGTTCATTAGGTTCTCGAGGATGTGTGTGTTCTGTACCTGCGTAATGGGAGGGCACAGAAAAAACAGCTCTAACTTGTTACTTCTGCAGGATAAGCCTGTCTTTTACCTTTGTTTTCTGTCACTTTGAAGCCAGCGGTTAGTAATGTGGGCGATGAAGAACCAGCTCCTACTATTAACGTTTTCTATTCATTATTATTAATTTCTTTATTAATTGACTACTACTCATCGAATGCTATAGAAGGTTGCTGTGTTCGAAATTAAAATATCTTTTTTGCTTAAAACCAGGATACTTAAATAACAAGTTGATCTCGTTGGGAAAAAGCTAACTTGCAGAAGTTCCACAGCATAATTACAGAAGCCGGATGTCGATTATACAATACATATGGGGAACCTATGATTAATACTAAAAATGAGTAAGATCTCAGGTACTTACTGAGGCTAAACCCTCGAGCATAAGCTTGGTGAGAAGTGCAAAAGTAAGACCGACGGTTTCCCCTGAATGGAGATTAACGCTTCCTGGTGTAAGGTCGTCCTTTGCAGCTCCGGTGGCTGGCGATTGGACCTCATCCGTTGGGGGAGCAGGACTGCTGCTCGGGGGGAAAACTATCGATGCGAGAGCCGCGATAGAATCCTCGTTATTGACACAGTAGCTGACCAGGTCGTTCCATCTGCATAGAAAGGGCAAATCGTTTAGAAATGAATTTGATTTGAATGTACTACATGCGAATCACAATTGAACCATTATTCTTTGGTTCTCTGAAGATATACTATATTCAATTTTGACATACAGAATAATTAAAAAAACACAATTGTATTCTCAAAAGTAATTAAACCACCTCCTTTCGCGTTACAGTAGCCACGAGTCGATCTGTCTAAGTAGCGACTTTTCAAATACAATTGTTTTCAAACAAAAGTATTCTGAAGACCTGCCCCCCCCCCCCCCCCGTGTATATCTTACGAGATTTGTTCTGTCTATTAACAACACATCAACTCAGAATGTTAATGCATAAAGTCTTAAAACCCTTCAGAGTATATATTGTTAGTTTCATGACATGCATCTGTCATAGTCACGCTTACAGCTTCGTCTAGCTTATGTCCGATTCGAACCTTCGTGAGATGACGTCGAGGATGGCCATAGCTGCTGCATCGTTACCGCTCGCCACCATTGCTCGCAGGACGGCGCAGAGCATAACGAACATGTCATTGTTGATCGGCCCGCTTTCCACTATCTCACACGGGAGCTTCGTCACCGGCCGTGAAAACAGCATCGCGAGCAACATGTTGCTAAAAGTCACGTTTGGATGGATTTTCGAGAGGGCCCACTCCAGTGATTGAAAGCCCGGGACATGCAACGTCTCTTGTTTAATGGCACCTGATTGAGTACTCACACGCAGTCCTAACAGAACTGGGTCGGTCTCCTGGAGCCATCCGCCATTACAGCTGGCGTCGCGGAACTTCACCAGGAGAGTCTGATGGCATAGCATGCATGAGAGCAGCTGAAGCGCCAATAACTGGGTACTAGGATCCAGGTGGGAGGACAGCAGGACGATGAACCAGTCCAGGCCAAGCACCCGAGCCAATTGCTCGCAAAGGCCTGTGTTAACGGCTCCCTTTGATGGGGCAGCCATTGTGCTAAGTAGCTGGAGGCATTTAACCCGCAAGTTGGTGAATACTGGGTCTTGATCTCGTGCAGGCAGGGTCCATATGATGAATTGGCCAAAACGAAGGATGTCACTGTTGCGAGACGTGTTTTGTAGCAACAGCTGTGAGACGATTAACCCAATAATATACTGCGTTATGCAATGGCTAGGCACAGGTATAATCCAAACGGAGAAAGGTCTCACCCTGACTTAACTCTAATTTTAACGTTGTAATTGTTGTAGTTGCATATAATAATATATGAGTAATTTGCCATATAAACGACATAGAAAGATGGAAATCTGTCCGAAATTCTCCCTCTTTTTTTTATAATTTCTCGATCAACTATTGTTGTCCTAGCTTGACTAACTAGTTACCCTTAAAAGATCACAGCACGTAGCAATCGTCTGCGGTGCCATCCTGCCGGGTTCCGAAAGCGTGTAGAGAATCTTCGACACGAGATCCAGTTCTCGCATCAGCGATACCGTCTCGCTTGAATCAGATGCCACTTGAAGGAGATGTTCGTAGAGGGATCGCTGTAGATCGTGCGCGGCATCGCGCCACACGTCGAGATTGCAGAGAACGTCCCGGAATGGGGCAACAGAGTGTCGGCCAGCCGCTGTGGGAGCGCACTCAGCGCTTCCCACCAAGCTTAGCGCGAGGTGCAAGATATGGCAGTTGAGCAGTTGACTCTTGTTGCGAAGAACAGCCGCCACGATTTGATAGCCTTTCGTACGCTCCATCGCTTGCTGGGCCGGCCGATTAGCCCGGACCACGCAAACGAGCACTTTGAGCGAGGCGTACAATGATTCTACGTTGCTAGCATATGAGACTAGCGCGAGTAGTGCGGCGGTACCACCGACACTTTCCATGGTGACCGCCACAGGTCGCGGCACAAATGTGCGTGCTCCTAGGTAGCCTGAAAATTTGCAGCAGCCATATTTACAACCAAAGTAGAAACAGCAGAAAGTATATGGGCATTATATCAGATCAGTGTGGTGTCACTTGTGGATGTTGATGAAAAACGGTCGACAATGACATCGGGGGCTAATGAGTTGTTTCTTGAGGCAGAAAAGCCAACTGACCCAATTTTTGTGGGCACCTTTTTATAATTATTTGTCAAGGGCTAATTTTTTTAGCGAAAATATCTAATACCTCAATTATTAGGGTCGACATAAAGTTATTTTTTTCAATTGCTTCAAATGCCACTGCCAGCCATGTCTGACCCGCTATTATGTAATATTACGAGCTCAGTCATATTTACCACAGCCTTTGCCCTAATAGGCCTTTACCAGCGTATCGGCAAGCGCTGAAAGACGTGCCCATTTAGGCACTTGCAAAACTTCAAGTTATAACTGCTACCGAATATCTAATAAACATTTCCAGTTCTACATTCTGTACTGGCTTTCTACATTTCTTGATACGGCTGATTCTTATTAGCACAAAGCGAGCCTTGCGTCTGTCAACGGTTGGTTTTGGATGCAGGCTTGTTTTTCGCTAAGCGTACCTAAGTCTGTTAAGCAGACACATCTGCACCACTACATCTTCGCTGCTGTTCCATATCTACTGATAATCAATCCCCACCTATGAGGACGGCGCCTAGTGATCTTGCGGCGCCTGCGAGATGTGCGGCCGAGTTGTGCAGGATGCGAATTGGGGTGGCGTTCTCGTGAGAAGACAGCCCCAGCATCTTGGCGATCGCTTTACAGTCGTGCTTCGAATAGACGCGTCGCATCTTGGCTAACGTCATCGTCGAAACGGCGGTCGCGTTCAGCCCGAACGTGATACGCTCTTCGGACACCTGCATTCCACCTAAACCAACTTGACTTGGCCCTATGCCACCTGGCGGTGCGCTCTGCAGTGATCCAACATAGGACGGACCCAGGGTGAATAGGTGTACAACTGCTGATTCGGTCAATGGCTCTTCAATCAAATGGCACGGACCCTGTTTCCAGGTCAATGCGCATACCTGCCGCTGCGAGGGTGTAGTGCCTAAGCGAGGACGAAGAACAGGTTAAACAAGCTCGAACTTTTTAAAGAAAGAATTATTACTGGTAACATTATTATTAATCACATAATCAGTAAATATCCATTTACACACGAATGTTGCGTTCCGACAAGGCACCAGATACATCGAAACTGCAGTGCGCGGGGGGGGGGGGGGGGTCGCCGGTTTAACACCACGCATCAGAAATCAGCGCAGTGTGCAAATTCTAGCTAAAGCACTACTTGGATATTTGTAGACGGGCCACTGAAAACTGGTGGGTATCTAAATTATTTTTTTGTGTTAATTTATGTCTTGAGAGATTAGACACATAGCGTGTAATACATAATAAAGGCACGCTATTTTGCTTTTACGGATTTCGACCCGTTTTCTTCACGTTTATTGCTACTTATATTTGTAGGTTGACGTCTTACCGATGATCGCAAAGATATTTTGCGAGCCCGCGCCCGAATACTGCGGCACGTAGCTCATCTTAGAGCAGCTGCCTTGCAGAGCGACTCCGTCGAAATAGACCGTCGGCGAGCAGTTATTCTTGAGGACAGATCGGGTAAGACAAACGACAAGGTGATGCCATTCACCAGCGGTTACCGCACGAGCTAGCGAGATAGTGGCTCGATCAAGGTTCACCTGCAAGCGCAGCTCCTTCTCTGAGAGCTCCAGCCCAAGGCACGGTGTCTGCTCATCTCGAAGTTGTCGGAAAATTGACAGCAACCGAACCCAATGCGACCCGCTGAAGCGTTCCACCATGAACCACGTTGAAAACGTCAGACCTGCCCGACAAAGACAGAGATGACAGGGACCGAAAGCATGGTTATGGGTTGATCGTAATTTATCCGCGGGAGTGAACAACAAGCTGGCGTAGGGAGAAACGACGTAGAATTGTTATTAACGATCGACAAGTAAAGATATGCAGAGGAACGGACAGTGAGGAAGAACAATATATAATGTACAATGTGTTTTTAATGCGAGTAAATCGATAACGAAGCCAAGGCAAGGAAACACAAGTAGCAGCGGAATAGATAAAACCAATACACAATATGCAAAGAGAGAAACACGAAACATACATTTTGATATTTTTTTGCAATAATCGAATCCATTAATTATTTATGCTCTCAGTCAATCAAGTGTAGCAGGGCTTTGACGTAAGGCAAAAGTTTTTCTGTGACACGATTGAAAGGAGCCCACGGAAAAATTAACAGCGTAAAGGGTTTTATTTATAGAGCAAAATGAATTATTAGGAAAAAACGTTCTGCACAATGTTCAAATAACGGCGGTACTACTATTACTAACCTGTCTGCGGGGGAAAGACTCGATCGCCTGCGCCAATACCCCCGAGAACGCTGTCTGCTGCCACGACACCCACCATAGCTGGGCCCGAAAGCGACTGAGGTGCTACGGAAGGTAAAAACAGACAGGAAAAGCCTTCACGTGAAAGTGACAGCTCGACAAAAGCGGCACAAACTGTTGATAATGTTGGCCCATCCTTGGGAGTTGTCATGGAGACCTGAATAGAAACGATAAATGGAAATGGTAAACGCTTTGTCAATAAAGTTCGATGAACAACATTTACAGCCATATATCCAGTCGCGTACATCATCTGCAGCATAAAATTAAATGTGACCACTAGTAGCGTACGTTAGTTAATATCCTGCTGAATATCTATCGGAAAACGGATGCGATGTGAGTGCGCCGTCAACTTACGAGAGTTTTTATCCGAGTTAGTGGTACGGCTCCGCCGTCTTTAAACGGCCCGTCACATCGAAGTGGACTACCAAGTCGCAAGAAAGATCGTAGTTCGCGCGGCTCAAGGGCTTGGGCCGCTAATCGTTCCAACATGTATTGTATAACGATGTGCAGTTGATGTCCTTCGTCCTCCAAGGCGTTTTTCATTTTTGAAAGTAATTGACCTGAAATCGACAATGGCCAGTGTGGGATTTAGTTAGAAATCTGCATGGACGTTGGGAAAAATATGTAATCTAGGAAATCGATGAATTTAAAAATAATCTTACTTTTTGTTAACTCATGAGCTATCATGTTTAAGTACGCGTATCTGTGGTTACCATACGGACACTAGGTGCATGCGTTGAATACTATGAACAAGAAGACTTTTAAAGTAGAGCGGTCACTTGCGACGGGTGAGGCGTACATATAATACAATAGACGCATAAACATAAGGCCGCGATTTGGACAGATAGTCCAGCAAAGACGGTGCAGAGATGTGTAGAAATGGTATCGTCAGATAGAACGAGAGTTACCTGCGAGTCCGGCCTGGCACATGATCTGTTGGTTTCTTTCCGTGCGGACCAGGGATCTAAGCAGTTCAGCCACGTACAGTTGGACGTTGCGATCGCAGAGCGAGGGCAAAATCTGTAGCAGGGCTATCACTACACCCGAGTGTACGATCAAAGGGTCTTCTGTTGGTGGCAACGAAAGGCACAGGGCGGCCCCTGGGGGCAATACTGTGCAATGGGAATTCTGACCTAAAAGAAGCCAACAGATCTGATAAGGTGAAATAAAAGTCGAAAAAGTTTAATGCTTAAATTCTAATTGATCTGAATATATATCGTTAACGAGGCTTGAAGCAGCGGGATCTGGCTTTTTAGCCAGAGGCACAAATCAATGCCGCGTCAAATGTATTCCCACTCGATAGTAGCCGACCTGAAATCCCCAGACCGATTTAATCACTCAGGTTCCGATCAACGGCCAGATCGTCCCTAACAGTCTAATACAGCGAATATTTCAAATATTACTCTACATCATTAGGACCCATTCTTTCTTTTTTATTTCAAGCCCCCTTTCATGCTCAGTTACAAAAATAAATATTACTTCATAAAATAAATATTACTGCATAAAAACGTTCAGATTGCTTCAGATCAATAGGGCGAATGCTTTTTTTCTGTTACCATGCGAAAAACAAAAGAAAAAGCGTTCAGTACAGTTGACTCCTGATATAATTATACTAACTAGCTATTGCACTTTGTTACTAAGCGCAAGTTGCGGTAGTACAAATAGGGTGCCACTACAATGTTATATAGAGATAGCTCAACTTAAACCATTTTGCCGAATTCAATATTTTTTTTTTGTTTTTAATCAAATCTATCTATTACATGAAAACGGCTCCGCATTTTAGCCTAATCTAGACATTTCTACCGAATAAAATCTTAAAGTCTATGAGCTAACGAGTTATTCATCCATGGGTAGCAACAAGTGATTAAGCCCTTCTAGGAAAGCGGACGGCTCATGACACTAATGTAGCTTATTTAAAAGTAGGCGAGCGCTAATACGCTATAACTAATAATTGTTGTTGGGCAGAACAAAGCTAACGACTTTCTTCTAAACACTGTTGCAATTGAACTCTATCGGACCCTCACGAATCTCCTTCTTCATACGATGTACGCATTCGTTACTAGCTCGCCGTTTGACCTTTATTTTCAACGCACAGAAATATCGTGTTCTAATGTCTGCTCCGGTATGGCCAAGATTAAAGTGTCGCATGATGCCTACGATGATTCTGGCCATACAGTTCGATTACATCCATTTTGTAGTTAGGATATAGTTATGGAGTATATGACCTGGTACAGCGAACAGGAACCAACCGAAAATACCTCCTATTTTCGTAAGAAAGGATCATGTGCTGAAAAGAACAGTTGGGATGAACGATAATTCATAAGTTACCAGACAGCATAAGCTCAGAAACAGATTTATGTGGCATCGGCGATAAAGTCCTGGCAAGCACGCAAACATTTGCATAGCGCTCAAGTAGAAATAAACAGGTTTTACGGACAACGTAGGAGTTGCATGAGCACGCTCTGTGTTTGCCAGTAGTTGTTTATAGCCGTTAGCAATAAGTCTGGTAAGAAAGGACATGGTATACGTATGAAACTTGTTGCCAAAAAAAAGGATTCATATTTTCGTGCAATTATATTAAGGTTCCAGTAAGGACTTGGCTAATACTTCCGTAAAAAAATTCCAGTTTACAATATCAAAATTGTAGTTATCAATGCATTGGAGCACGATAGAGCCGAGCGCCGCGCTTTTGCATGGATAAGCAAATGTGAAAGAATACGATTTGCGAAATTAAATTATAGTTTAAATGCACGATACTACATTGATTATGCTGTGTCATTTTAGTAGATCCAGCTATTTATACATGTTTGTCTAGAGACCGCACAGGACCCCGTCACAAGGCCGCAAAACAAAAATGCATCCTCTTACTGATTAGACTAACATCCAGATAGGACGGAGTTATTGCTTTATTCATACAGTACTTCATTTAGGATATGATTGGTAAAAGATAACTGTTGCAATCGGCAATTGACAAACGAATCAACGTTTGTCACTGGGAGCTTGCTAGGCGGCTTTGAATTGCGCGCGCAATTTAGCTACGTCGATAGGCTTTGTTCTAACGAAATATACGGTACGCATTGAATCGATGAGGCATGATGTAACGTATCTAGCGCAAGAATTAATGCTCAACGGTATAATAACTGAGAATATGCATCCGAGATTTGTAGGAACGCTAAATGAAAAAGGGTATCCGGACGGTCACGGTAAAGTGGTCACGTACACCAAAGCGCCTCCTTGATACTCGAAAGATGACTGTGGCATAGACGGCATGCACAGACATGCGAAACAGGTCCCTCGCAGGATCGCAGATAGGCCAGTAGAACGTCATTCTCACTGTAATCTTCAGGGTTGCTTGCTGGGGAAGTTTGCCGAAGAGCGCCGTCAATTGTTAGATAACACGATCGAGCATTATTAGATGGTAGATTTGTCATGAAATCTATTGAATACTCCAAGCACGCACTCACAACACAAAACAAGAATCTTATCAGGTCGGCTATCTCTCGACAAACAGGTTATTCAACTCGTATTTCTACACATCCCTATTTGCAGTCCGAACATATAACACGAAATCCGCATGTGTACTGGCTTATCTTTTGCAGATCTTGGACCTAAAACCATTGTGCAGATACACACACAAAGCTATAACGGGACCGCTTATGTTTACTTCTAATCAGTGGATAACATCTCTAGGTTTTGACTCGAAATGACTTTTTTTTGACTTAAGCCAATCGTATTCAAAAGCTCAGAAAATTTTACTACATATCAAAGCTCTGCCAAAACCACCAGCTGCCTGAGTTATCGCCATGCTCATATATTTTTATTCTTGTTTTTAACTTTCTGGGAATTAATTGTAACGGCCAACGAACGTATGTTTTACGTAACAGAAGCACTTTATTGCTACCTATTCGCCCTATCCTATTGTGTGTTTGTTGATATTCAGTACAGAGCCTTTCGTTTATGTTTCATTAATGCTTTTGACGGCGACCTTGGCCAGGACAGGATCTCCCGGTACCTCCGCCCAGGGGGCCGGATACAACGATAAAGAAGATAACCAAAAACCACTTAAGGCCTTGAGAAGAAAGAGGTATGCCCCTTGCCTAGCAACCCCTTTGTGGTACTAGCCCATTTATAGGTAAGTGTAGAAAATGCTACGAACTCAACTTTTTACAGGCTTTGCCAAATTCTCGGAACGCCTGCCACATGCCAAGGATCTTTAAAGCATCCTAACTGTGCACATCACTACAGGACTGTGCCTGTCCTTCGCTGCGCTTTTGTACGTCCTGTTGACCTACTTACCTGTGCCCTGCCAGGGCCTTGGACACGTTGACGACCTCTCGGATAGCTTCCGTCAAACAACTCAAGTAAAATTAATAAGCCACAAAAGCATATTCACTTTGTATTACCAGTGTTAAACAAGTGGCAAAAAATCAAGCTAACAATGGTTTATTGATTCTACGATCTGTCGATTGTTGTATGACTACCCTACTTTCATTTTTCGATCCATACAGTTATTTGAATGTTTCCGATAAATCTCATGTCATCATCTGGTACATAAGTCCTACGGTCACCTTATTGACAGGCGTCATTGCACATGCAACGTGCGGCTTCAAGGTACAACTGTCTAGCGAAAGACAACTTGCGCTCTATACTTCACTTAAAGCAGGTTAAATTCAAAGTTTGATTAAGTTGAAAGAGCTGGCGCAGATGCTAATGTCAACATGTATCTGGTTGAGAATGAGCACTCTTCTAACGTATACTCCCCATAAGGCGAAGTAATATTAGAACTTCAAATTTTGCTCGAAGAATGACGTCGTTGCTCTCATGGAGCATTCATCTCTTTCAAAATCATGGACTACACAAACGTGGCAATCCATATGCGTTTGTTTTAGATACGCTTCTACAAGTAAAGCCTGCTTGCAGTGCTATTACAACTGAATCGCTACTTAATATACAAGGCTCTATCTACATCGATATTCAGTTATAGTAAAGTGTGTGATGAACCCTTATTTCGACGTCAGCAGAGATTTTCCATTTTCAGACATCGTAACCAACAAATATTCTATGTATTCTCTATCCTTATTATGGATCGAGTGATTGTAACGCATGTAATGAACCTCCATCTTGATGACGTTATATATGTGCCATTTTTGGACGTCGTTATAAAGAAATTTGCGATGTAAACAACGTTGTCTCCCATTACTATTAATGTTTTGACGCTTATTATTATAGCCTTTAACAGAGCTCGCCATGTCGTAACACAGCAGTAGTCGATAACTAGGCGGAGTATCGAAAAAGACGTCTGCTACGCACCTGCAGATCGTATGTTTTCTGTATTTAACCCCATATGCGGGACAAGATTTTTTTTAAAGAACAGCAATTTTCCAGGTTTCAAGTTCACCCCATTCTGCCCCTGTGATAAGTCAATCAATCACGGTTGTTGTATAATGCTGAGGCCGAACGGAGCGGTGAATAGAACAAAAACGAAACTTGAGAAAATATGGTGCCCGCATCGCGGGCATTTTGAATTATTGAATTGCGATCATAAATAAAACAACAGTTGATTCTGTACTAACGAGTACAAATAGAAAGGTTTCTCTATTTCTAGGCATGCCCAGGCAATACATAGAGTAAGATTGATGCGTATCCCCACTTGCAGTTAACGACAATAGACAGCAGCACAGGTTTAATGTGACCTCTGGATGAGGATTAATTTTTATTCCTACCATTATTTTGACCATTGATATTATTCTATACATACTATATCCAATACTTAATTCTCATAACGTGCATAAATAAGTTACTTCAAAGACCCATAAATCTCTCAATTCGTCTCGATACCGTTTTAAAATTAGCACAGTACAGTCTATCGGTCCCTTCTCCAATCGTGTCGTCCACCATCATTCATCTTCAACCTGAGTTAGAGATACTCATCCGAACAGACCCGACAGCAATGTAACTAGAAATACGATTAAGGCAACTGCCAACACACGCCAGCTAAAATAGCGGACGTTGACGTGGACGCTATAGTGAGGTCTGTTGCAGTTTTGTGCCACTGTCAAGCTATTGATATCACTGCCAAGTGCCGTCCCTTTCTATGACGTTGCGGCCTTCGACTGAATTATATCAACATAATATTTGAGCAAGTTACACGTCGAGACCGCATATGACCACTACTATTATTTTTATTATGATCCTTTATAAAGCAAACTACCAAATGCATTTTTTTCTTTGTCTCCCACAGCTCCCCAAATTTATTCCAATCCTGGTTACGGGACTCACCTGTTTGCAGCAGTAGCTTTGTAGCGGTCGTATTGCAGTCAACGGCCATATCGTAAAGAAAACGCATGATCAGCGTGCACACATCTAGATGGTCGTAACGTTCAACATCATCTTTTGCATCGCCAGTAAACACTGCGTGAATTTGTTCGAGACTCTTCTCTTTGCCGTCCTCGCCGCAAGCGAAACAGCCCAGCAACTTGAGCGAATCGACCAGCGAGTTCGTTGCGCAGATTTCGTTGGCGAAAACCTTAGCGTTGGCAGGTTCGTATCTGAAAATGTAGCCGGAGGGTATATTAAGCGTGGGTTAATTTGTGAATTCTGGTTTCAAGTCGATCGTGGATGGAAACACAGATATATCAGGCTGAGTAACAGATATGGCTTAGAAAAAAGTCTTCTTTATAGCGAGAATAAAATCATTGGCGGATTAGATACGTATTCAATTAACAACAAGTGAGACATCTGCACGAGAGAAGTTACATACTATGATGTCTTAATATACAGATAATTAGCTGCCGGTGGGTATAAGTGCATCCCGTACGATGAGAGCGCTTCTCTAGAAACTCATACCCAGATACATTTCCGTTTCAACTAAAAGTGTGATTCTGTGTTACAGCTTTGAATACCGTTTGTTGATTTTCTGTTCAGTTTTAATGTTCGAATACTTCAGCGTTCACATATGAGTAACATACGTAAGAAAACAAAAAAGGCATATACAACCCACTGAAACTCTTGGTAATAAAATGACAATTTGCCAATGTTACCTCATTGCTACTGCGATCGTGTCAAGTATTGTACGAATGAGACGCAAAAGTTGCGGGGGACGCAGGGGAGCCTGGGCTGGTGATAGGCACCCCTCAAGGCAGGCCAACAAGGTCATGAGATAAACGAAACCGTTTACCTTTCGGAAAACGCTCCGAATGCGGTGGCTGAAATAGTAACAGTTGAAATAATACTAGTGCTAGTAGTAGTAGAAAAAGTCCTACAAGTAACTATAATGCAGTAATAAAAATAGTACTCGCAATAGTTATGTATAATAGAGTAATTAACGATCATCGAGCTAGTTAACATGTGTGCCCCTCAAAAGATAAACTGGTAACACCACATTACTGGCCTATCGGGAGATGGGTGCGTAAGTTTATTTCGACATGAAAGGGCAGGTATTGACTTTGCAATTCGTCATTGAGTACAATGACGACGACGTTTTGAGGAGCCTTTCAAGCTGATTTTGTTGTTATTTTTATTTTGTAAAGGGGAGCTAAAACCTCTCGGCAGTAGTATGTTTCGCGAGAGGCCGACTGTCCGAGGGGACTCGCTGGGGAAAGATTTTTCCAATTTCCTTTCGTTTTTCGCCTTTTCTACCTTTCAGCCAAAAGGCCATGTAGCGCAAGCAAGCAGTCAATCTTTAGCTCGACCTGGGCGTCAGCGGTTGGTACAGCGGCAAGTAACCACGTCATATCTTCGTCTGGGGAGGCCGATGACGTCATCACTTCCTTAAACAGGCCGAGTGCCAGGGGACGGCACCGCGATGAACGCAGCAGACCTTGTGCATATTTCAGCCCGCCAGAATCGCGAAATACGCTGCAGTTCTCTTGAGAACCTGACAACAGGGCCTAGTTCAGAGAAGACAATAGAATAGGGACGGGATAAAATAAACAACTTCAGTCCTAGCTGTATGATACAGACAAACATATGGTCAGGACTTTACAATTGAAAAAGAGTTCCAAAGTTCTCCGCTGCCATGTTGGAAATGATGGTAATAATAGTTAACAACATGACACGGTCGATAATGAAGTAATGATTACGTCTGTTTGTACACATCAGCATTCATTAACGGCTTGTGAGAGGATAAAGATCAGCGATTTTCCTTGACCTTTTCACTTGGACGGTAAAAATGTTTCCACTGCATTATATCTTATCTCCATCTGCTAATTAACAGTTGAAATCGTTAGAGAAATATTGCTTCAAGGTTTTACATGGGCCAAAGTAACAAACCTGAAGTACATCGATGATGGGCTGAACCAATTCTTGTTCATCGCGAAAAAGCTGCAACCGAAGTACGAGCACCTCAAGCAGGCCCACCTCACGAAACACGTTCTTATACAATGACGGTTTAACCTTCAGCCAATAAGAACATTAGCTTACATTTCAATAAAGACTATACAGAATAATAACTCGATATTGTCACATTGTTACGTTCAGTACCCTAGTACTGCCGTATTCTACAACTATGTACTTTTATTGAAAAGTATATGAGTCCTACACTTAGCAGACGCTTGTTGCAACAAAACCTGACGTAGTAAAAAGCTATTTTCATAAAAAAAAAGCTGTTCATGGTAAAATCTAAGTGACTCAAGTCTAGCAGGTTCACTTGTTGTGTCTACACGAACCATTAGCTACGTACACTATTGTACATTGTCGTTTGAAACCTATCTACCTTAAGGACATTCTGAAGTGTTTCAAGACAGAGTAACGCCGTCTCCTCAGAGCAGTCAGGCTCTTTAATCACGTTGCTAACGGCCACCAGCTCCTTGCAGGGTACGAAGCGCAAATTTTCTGGCACGTATTCGACCAGTTTCAGCAGGCCTATTTGCACTCGCTTCGGTTTGTTGTGCATTCGGTCGAGCAGCGCTGATAGTGGATAGATCGTATCGAGTATAAAATAATTGGCTGGGTCCGCTTTGTAGATGCTGGCCATACTATCTAGTAAGAGGCTCTGTAAGCGATCGGTGCGCGCACGCCAGAAGCAGCTCTCGATCACTTTGTACGCGTCCAGGTTGCGAACGCATGTGCCTCGGGCTAGCGCCGGCGGTAAGACGAACCCGTCCATGTGGAACAAGCTTTGTGGATGAACCGGTTTCAGCGGTTCGGACCCGCACGTCACCAGGGACGTGAGCAGGACGCTTAGACTGCTAAGCACCTGCTCAGTTTCTCCTCTGCTAAGGGTTTGCACGTCAGTTTCCATGTGTGACCGATTCTGTTGGTTACTTGAGTTGTTATCTTTGACTGTTTTGTTTGCGCTGCCACTGCTTGCAGCAAACGTCTTCTGGCCGGCCTGTGGTACATCTGTACCCGTATTACCCCTGTCTTGTGACCTGTTGTTTTGGTCGTTGCCTATTTCTTTATCTAGCTCCGATTCGCAACGCAGCATGAACTCTGCCACGAGTCCGTAACCGGAACACGAGGAAAATTCGTCGAGAAGGACATGGCTGATCTCGCTTGAATCCTTGAGCAGACAGAAAAGACAGACGAACATCTCTAGGACCTGCAATAGGAAGACTTAAAATTGTTAGAGGGTGCTGCTGTTTATGTGTTATATGTAGATCTATATAGATCTACTATCTAGATAGATAGTCTAGATAGATATCTAGATAGATATCCAGATATACAGATGGTGTGTATATGTGGAAGGTTTGAACCGGGGACTCCTTGGTCAGGATTTCCAGGTACCGTCTCTGAGCTGACTGACCGAAAAGAATCGATACGACCTGTCATGGTAGGGTACTCAATACAAGTAATTCGGGACGGCAAAACAGGAAAAGGAATGACCACATGAATCGTTGTTTCCTATTCCTCAGATTTTTGCTAAAGGACCAGAGTGCGTCCGCGTGCAGTCTCGAATTGAACAACTTCATTCCTCATGGTTGGCACAGCGGGAAAGTCGTTTAATTCTTTCAATAGCATAAGCGTCTTTCAATAAGGTAATACGGTTTCAACTTAACAATTACATTAGATTACAATGTCGTGTTTGTTTCCTAATAGCGACGAAAAGTGATCACTGAATTTAGAGCACATCCGTTTTGCTCTATATACACTGCCTATTCATATGCGTGCAGCTGTCAAGTCAATTGCCCTAAATGAGGCCATCAAATGTCCTAAAGCAAGTTAGATGGACGACAAAAGATCTGGCATCGGGTAGGCTAAGTGACGCGTATCGAAAACGGCGAAACTATAAAAAACACTCGTGCTAGGCGTTCTAGGTAAGGTTTCAAGGTTTTTATCAACTGCTACCGACGATTATTTGACGACAGCTGCTGCGAGGCGGAATGTCGTTTGGGATCTCATTACTATGTTGGTCGTACCATTTCATCGGGTGCGACTTTTCCCAGTCAGTCGATCACTATTTTGGTCGCCATCGGTGTCAGACCTCAAATGGCTTTGGCAATATTGCAAAATAACATGCAGTTATTCATCTAGGACAGGGCATACATTTAAAGAGGGCAATAATCGGCTTTGCGACAGAATTGACTTCTAGTCAATACGTACACTGGTTTAACCGAAACCTCACTTATTTCCTAAAACTTCTGTCTTTTTGTACTGTAAGACTAGTTATGTGTCACTTTACATATATGTTTGACTGTCGAAAAAGTGTTGACGGTCTCTAAACCCAGATAAGATAACTATTCTTACATTACTAAATAATAATGTTACTAAACTGAGTATGAGTCATTTTAATTGGTGATTTCAATGTAGAATAACCTGCGCTTGTGGAACTAAATTGTCGGCATTAGAGGAGTTCTTCGAAAACAGAGATAAATTATTGTCTAGTGGTGCAAGGCCCGAGTTATACAACGGACGCATTCAGATTATCCATTTAGGAACCCAATTTTTTTGCCGCTAGCTAAAAACGCATGTGGTCTGGCATTGTCATGGTGGAAGACGACGCCTGTTTTGTTCAATTGTATCGGTCGATTTTTTTCTATGGCTTATCGTAGTTTTATCATTTTAGTAACCCGCAAAGGTCCGAGTCAGTGCCAGCAACTTAAAATGTGCGATACCAATAAACACATAGTGTCACCCTGTTGTTAGTGTAGACATTGCCACAAGTTGTGAAGCTCATTCTTTATGTTTTTTTTTTTTATTTGCACACTATTGTTGTAGGTGAGCTATTGTTTCAATATCCGTGATCAGTCGACTTTGTATTGGTCGATTCTTGTCCATTTCAGCGATGGAAGAACGATCAAAAATATGGTTTCGCGTCAATTCGTGTGGCATCCAAACGTCGCACTTCTTTTGTGGCCAAACGGTTGAAAAATGTTTGAGGGTAGTTGAGTGGCAATATCGCGGCCGCTGAATCGTTGCTGCTGTTCAGCTTTCGCAGAAAAGCCATCAATTTCTGTCGTGACTGGTCGACCACCACCAGGACAGAGAAATTTCTAGGTTAAAAGAGTCTTCAAGCCGTTCCCTTCAGTAACTCTTATTGCGATCACAAACAGTACAGACTGTGTTTTTATTGGCTTAGACAGCATGTCTGCTTCTATTATAGTCAAATGATAAATTAATGTTAAATGTATTGCACAGAAATTCTGCTATATCTGCAAGCTGCTATATTATCTAAAGTTTAAGGAATGACATTCCAGTTATTTACTACTGCTACCAAATCTCAGCTTTATTACTTTAAAGCCGTCTGGCTAGAAAAACACTTTTTTGAGATATATATATATATATATGTATGTATACATAAAATTAAAGAAAACAATGACTGAGCAGAGTATGAAAACAAAACTGATCTCGATAACAGCTGAGCCTTGTATATCATTTTGAGGTAACTGGACATTTTGAATCCTACTCTCAGACTTTTTGATCGTTCAGAAGTTTCCAAACAGAGAACTTCTCTACCGAAAAACATTGATGAAGAGGACAAGAGGCTGCATGCGATGTGTATACTTAAATATGAATAGTGATATTGTTTAAAATAATACTCAAGTAGAAAGGCCCTTTTCCACTAAGCACCATCAATTCGACCAATCTTCAGGCACAGCCATCGACTCATAATAATAGTAGGACTAATAACAATGTAGCGGCAATCTTACTAGAAAAACAAATAATAGTAGCTATACGTGTGTATCTACATGCCTGTCCCGAGCTGAATTCGTGCATCCTTTTCCGCATGTTATCAATGCACGAAGTAAGACAACGTCTCTTGTGCATATAATTAACGACCATTATACTTAGGCCATGTCGCGACACCGTCATCAACACTTCGCCGGCGCTTTTACGCCAAGTCACATTGTGCTCCGGACACCACGTCGTGATCGCTGAAAATAGCAGAGCGAGATCGTCCTTATGGGCTAGTTCCTCTGCCGAACATGGCTGACTGCATAGGCGCATCACGAGCTGAGCAAAAATCTGTCGAGAAGAACGAGTGAAAAAAAAAAGAAGCGAAAACCAAATGGAAAAACGCTTTATTAAACTGTAACAGCGGAACGGTATATTAGCCAGATATTAGTTACAGACGTCAAGGGCATGTTTCGAGTCGTTACGATAAAGTCCGAATATAACTAACAACTAACTAATGTAACAAGTTGCTAACTATTTAACCTACGTAAATATTGACCAATTTTCTAGCTGCTTGCCGTCAATTAAAGCCACCAAAAACTTATGTGCTGTTCCCGTAGCGCAAAACATCAGTTCTTGCATAACACTTCCTGATATTATTTCCTTTGATACCATTATGCAGTGGTGAATTTGTGCAGTAAATGACCTCCGAGATTACTACAGATGCTGGACGACGTCAGCAACCATAACGCTCTAAAACGTGAACCCAAGCCAAATGTATTCTCTTAAGGCGGAAATGCATGAGGAACATGGGTGATTTGTTGCTCGAGCTCTGGTTGCCTTCGTTCCTTTCTCCTGGTGTATTCTGCTTTCAGTTCTCGCACTGACCCCACATTCCAAAAATTAAAAAAGCAGGCCAAAAAAAAGGGTACCACCTTCCTTTGGGCAACGAGTGGAACCCTCTTCGTTCGGAGGCAAGGGCTTGCTCGACCTGAGAAGTGTTCGCTTGTCCGCCTGTTACGTATTTTTTCAGACAGGATTCCGGTAAAGCGGGTCCGAGACGCTCCAAAAGAACGTCGGTTCATATTTTCGGTTTCATGGTAGGAATCACTCGTTCAGCAGCTCATCTCGGGAGTATGTGAAACATCATCTCCGCAGTATCATGAGCTGACGCTACGTCATATATACATCAAACTAGCGGGTTGCACTCTACACGTGAAATGGATATCTATATATCTTGTCCGAAAAGCGTTTTGTCTGCAGTGTACCTTTCAGTACGCCAAGGGTAGAAAAGCCAGGAAGGAATACGCTGCTGGCGCAAGTAAACACAAAGAGAGTGTCCTTCTAATATGATGACGGCAACTGATGGTTGAAATCAGCCCGATTCCGACGAAAAGGTAGCAAAGAATGGCTTTTAGGCGCATGGGGAAAATCCAACAATGAACCCAGAGCAAAGAAAAAAAAAAGTCGATCAACAAATACCCACAGGCTCGCCCTTGCTGTCGCGTTTACATCACCATGTCCTTTAACGTTTTCTGAGCAGGTAAATATGAGATGTGTATAAGCTTTATATGGGGATCCCGTAAACAAAACAAGAATAGACAGCGGAACTAGCCGGATTCTTGATCTAATGAAAGATGTCAATTGAGCGCAATAATATGCAAAATATAGCTTGCATTTATGGCTGCTCTAACTTTAGGTTTATTCGATTGTCGTAGTATGGTAATGATTGGTAATATTATACGTTTTTTAGCGTCGAACGTAATAGAACACGTAGTGTGTGCGGCGATACATTCTGCTACAAGGTCTCAGCAGCTAGTATGATTCAATTATGAAAAAGGGAAACTACGGAGCCCTTCTTCGAAACGAATTATTAAGACTGCTAATTAAATCTCTGCCAATAGACCTTCTCGAAAAGGGATAATATGTGATTTATCTATGAAGACTTGTTGTTTCAGAGAAAAGTAACCGCAAATCTTTGAACTAGCAGCATGATCAGTTAAGATTCTTTCTAACCAAAGTGAAATGAGAAAATGGTGGTCGAAACTAGACACTACACGACTTATTACCGGATGATGAAACAATGCCAAAGTACAGATAGTTTTAGTAATAAAATAAAGTTGCAAATTAAAGAAAAGCCACTCATTAGTAGAGGTAGGCTTTCGCATCTTTACAGGATAAGCAGGCCAAAAAAGGTACATAAGGTACTGTTGTTTAGACTTCTCCTCGATTGTTCTTGTCGATTGTTTAGAGCCAAGCGCATAGATTCAAACCTTGACGACAAATACCGGACTTCCAGCAGTCACCTGCTAGACTCTGTAAGCAAATATCACTTAGGGGCTGAAAAAAGCGCTAACAGCTAATTGAACTTTATTCATTGTACACAAGACGGGAAGGAAAGACATGGCCGCGTAAACGTAGCAACTACGTCACACCCAACCGCCTGCTAGGTAAAACGAAGCTGCAGAAAGTTTCGTCATAGCTCGCCCTTTCTCGTAGACTGCTTACAGCCTGGATCTGCGTGTTTTGAGCATTATATAATAGGCATTATATAAGAAATTACGTCCCATAGCACAGTTCTGCTGACGTAGTATCAGCAGAAATATTGATGCAAGGTACGAATTTAAAAGGTTTTAAACCCGGTGATCATAAACAAAATTTACACATTAACTTCACGAACAAAAATCAGTTATATGACAAACGTCAGGAGCGATGTCTTAAGAAACTGAGAAGAAAAACATTTAAACTAAAAGCCTTTGCGTATGAAAAGAAACAACAACCTGTTCGAGTCTGACCAGGTACAGCGGACTCGCTTTCAAGCCAGCTGCATTAATTACCTTTTGCTTTATGATTTTAGTATTTTATAAACGACTAAATCAGATATGTAGCAATGCACGCAAAACGGTCTCACAAAACTCCGAATCAACACTCTTCTAGAAGGATCCTCGAAAAATTAGAAATGAACCAGCTCCTAAAGAAACACACTGTATTTTTGGGTTGTCTCGTACCGAATATAATAAAAATGATTTCTTCTGTTACTTTTCCAATGATTTAAGAATATTTCGTAGTGATGATAAACCGAGAGGAACTTGCCTTCTGCAACAAAATTCGTCTCTCCTGCTCGGAGATTCCAGTGGCGCTGCCCGTATTAACGGTCGTCGTTTCACATGACCTATGGCTTAACGTGGCCCCCAGCGCTGATTCGGCGGGTCCGGTTCGTTTATTACTATTCATTTCTGATCCGGTCGTCGAAGCACTTGTCAATTCCTCCTGGCCGGTGGACAAAGTTTCATCAGCTGACTCTGCCTGCTTAATCTGTACGGATTCTCGCCGCTCGATATCTTCTTCTGGCCGCTTCTGGTTGCTGCCTGGTTTATCTTTGTCCCTGTGTTGCAGATAGTACAGCGTTAGTTACGTTACATCACGTTAGCAGTACAATATATATATATATATATATATAAACACTTTAGCTTTAAAAAATCGTTGTGTTATCTTTGTGGCAGCAGCAACTTCATGATTTTATTAGTTATAAACAAAGGTAACATCAACGAGTGAATAAATAAATGGTTTATATTTATTCGTAGAATAGAACGTACTTATTCTTTAATATTTATCCCAGGTTTAAGGTCGCTTTTGCTGTCATTCTTTCCTACCCGAAACTTTTTAGAAATTCGGCCAAGAGATATTCGAAATAATATCATCCGACTGAGTACGCTGCTGCGTTCTGATGGCTAGTTGTCAGACTATATTTCCTGATATCTTGTCAATTACTCAGTACATCATTGGCAGATTGTGCAAAGCATGCTAAGAGATCCCCAGTGTGGGAAGTTCGACAAGAGCAGCGATTTCGGACGACCAGAAATTGCAATGACGTCTCTAAAAGCGGCAGAATGAATAGCGCACAATCACAATTGGTTCTCGGCACAGACCCTGTACTCCTTATATACCTTAGCCAGAAGCAAATGATGCCTGAAGGATTTAATCAGAAATAATCACCCGTTTAACGAAGCCAAAATGAGCAATGCATGTTTGTGTATACGGTAAGACAAACAAAAAGGAGGAACATGTAGTTAAAGGGAGAACGGTACAGTTGTTCGGCCGGTATTTTTCCGTACTAAATAGGCTTTCGTTTTTATTTCGAATAGCCGACGAAACTAGCTTAAAAGCAACAGAAAAAAAAAGTTGAATATTCAAGACGTACTCATCAGACGCTTGTTGTCGTTGTTGATGCTCCTGTCGTTGTTGTGCTAAATCTTCGTTCTGTTGTTTATTGTCGGGCTGTTGTTGCATGTTGTTATTGATCACTGGCAGATCGAAGAACAGGTAGAGACACTTGACTAGCGTAGAGGGCAATGCCTGACTTGCTAGGGCCTCGATCACCCGCGGTCCCGCTCCTGCTAACAGATTAATGGCTGTTAGAAGTAGCCAGCCACGCGAGGCTTCACCTGGAGTAGGTGACACTTCGAGAAAGTGTGCGATTGCTAATGATGTCGTTTCTGTTGATTGATTTGAGGCTCGCCGACGGATCTCACTTACCTAGAAAAAGTAGAACAAAGAAGCGATCTTATGCGCTTTTAATGACGAATAAATGTGTGTAATGCACGTATGTATGTGATGTGTACGCAAATGAAAGAGTACGGTGTTTGTCGGAAAAACAGACGAGGATAAGAGCAATCCCGTTTCAACATTTACTTGCACATTGCCGATTCGTCACAGATCAAAACAACTTGTCACCCTCATATGATCATTATCGAGGTAACCACAACTGAGGATGCATTCAGGTAATGTATCGAACTGTTCATCACTGTGATAATCCGACATCACGATCTCACACTTCCTGCTTCACTCAGCGGACAGCGCACCGTTTAGTGTTTGGGAACGCCCAGCGGGGGCTATACCCTACAGATTGAGACATCGCATCAACACAGATCAAGCAAGTATCACATTATAGTAACATAAATCAATAACAGACCTCAGGAAACACCAACCGTCCGCTTGTCCCAGGTCACACTTAGACGCCTATCGCAAACTACTGAATTTGAACTTAAATCAATCCGTTACTAAACGGCAGCTCGTGTTCCGTGCAAAAGAGATGTCTGCTTTTCGCGCATCCTTCACCTTATACATCTCTGTCTATTGTCTACGCTGCGAAGCGAATGAATAGAAATCCTGGAAGAATCTTTAGTCTTACCTGAGCTCTCTCTTAACTCGAAAGAGCTGCAATGCTGTCGACCTTGAATCAGGAAGGAAGACTACAGGGCCTCAGGATATGTCTATTAGGTGTAGATCATCCTTCATCCGGCTAACGCAATAATATTATCTTGTTGCAAAAACGTTCTTGGAGTGCGCTGGGACGTCGGGCCGATCGACCTCTGCACCATGGCAACGATTCGGCCATAGAGTTCTGGACTAGCCAGACATGCGGTAAATGATCTGATGGGGAGCACTAGAGAGTCTTGAGGCGAGGAAAGCGAAGCTTAAACATATTTTCAACTATGGCTGATGAAATCTAAGTTATGAAGCAGATAAACTCGTAAGGGTATGTTAGTGTGCGTGGAACTGTTTGCTGGAATCCAGCTTCTTCAGTTTTTTGTTTGTATCATGTCGAAGTGGCATCTGATTTATGACGTTCTATTGTTGTTCCTATCTGTTCATTTTATTGAAAGAAGAAATAATAAGGCATCAACTTTTGTTGATGTGTGTGGATATAGTAAACTTGATGTTCTACTTGGAGTAACGACGGAGTTTTGCGGTATAGTCAAGTATCACATTATAGTAACATAAATCAATAACAGACCTCAGGAAACGCTAGCAGGCAACATAAATTATACTGAAAAGCACGCTTTCCGTCAATTCCACTGTCGAAATCTTTCCGAACTATGTCTGTTTGCCTCAGGCAAACTGCAGCGACCATATCTGCAGTTGTATTTTCTACAGCAAACGATGCTGGCGCATGGAGGTAACAATCAACACGGCATATGGTGGAGACTAGAAATTTTCTGATTTGAGTTTTGCCTCCATTACGTCTAAACACTGCACAGAAGCTGCGTATCTTAGTTGTGCTATAGCTGTTCTTCGGCCATCATGAGAGGTTCCAAATAAGGTTGTTCTTTCGATGTTTAAGACCACATCACAGATATACGCACGGACAAATGTGCGTTTTTTTTTTTTTTTTTGTATACCTGCGAACTTCTCTATGGATGCCTTTCATGGTTTCGTGCTGACGCTCGCAGATGCGTTTCATGACGTTCGCTCCGGACTCGCATTGCGCTCATTTGACGTCAGATATTTCTTTGCGGCTAACGTAATCGGATAACTAGTCCGACTAACTTGAGTGCGCTTACCGGAAAATCGTAATGTTTATTGGCTATATATTAGTTGGATAACATTTAAAGGGTTACAGCTGTTTCCTTGATTAGTGTTACGGAATCTAATTTATTTCATCCTATAGTTTCAACAATCAACTAGAGCTTCCACATGCTATAAAAACTTCGAATCTCAGAAGCTCAAAATGTGCTTGAATATAGTAAAAACGAAATTAATAAATCGCGTATTATTACCTAAATTAATAAGAACAAAATTGAGGTTTTTTGCAATGAAAAATATATTTCTGTGCACATTCTTTGCATGTGCCGATAGAACCATCCTTTATAGATATGTTCACTGAGTGTATTTAGTGTACGCTTCAATTCAGGACATAAATCGTTCATAAGTCAGTTTTTTTTTTTATTATCAACCGTGAGTAACAGAGCGATTCTGTGAATTCGTTGACGCGTCACTCAAACAAGCTAAGTATAAAACAATTCTGTGAATTTAAATTTCGATTTAATAAAGTATAAGACCCTGAACGGTCGAAAAGATCCCAAAAGGTGGCAAAGGTCTGAGAAGGATAATCGTAGGAGCTTGTATGTACAACGCACCTTGCAATAATTAGTCTTTTCTCAAAAAAATCTAACCTCTCTATCGAAGTTCTGGCATTATCGAAATCGCTTTTTACTTCATTCCTGAGCTCGTCTAATTCCAATCATGAATTATCAATCCAATCCGTATTATAGATCTTCCGCTATTCATTATGGAAGTATTCTTCCTCAGATTTTTCGGAGACCGAACGAAGCTAGAAATAAGGTGGGCTGTTCACTTCGTGCGGACTAAGAGGTTCCTAATCTCGAGACGGGTTCGCCCGGTGGAAAAATGTTTGGAAATAGCTTGTAATTTCGTATATAGTTCAAACACGAATCTTCCGCTTCTACCAGGGAGGTTCTCTCAATCGACCCCAAAGATTGTGGATACAGCTTCGAGTACCCAACATCTAGCATCACCATCGTTTCTCAGTGCTTTAAGAAAACAGACCTGTTGAAAGGTGGCCACTGCACAGTTGCTGTACCAGGCTAGAATTATCGCCATGTAAAGAGACACCGCTACAGCTTCATCACTACATTCTTTGTATAGATAAGGTTTTTATGTTCATCCTTAACTGGGTGGTCGTCTTTGGCGAGATTTTTGCCATTGAAAGATTGTGAGACATTTAATCAAAACCTTCAACAGTCTAATCGCCAGTTAGGTTAACTTTCCGCTTTTATAGGCTCTTGGCACCATACACTGAGACGATACTAATGTAAGGCCTTTCGGAACCTACCCTATCAGGAAACCTCCGATATAGATCTAGGATCTGCGACGAGCAGCTCAAATGGACTGTCGTTTTGGCTTCGTGCTGGACTGATACTATTTCATAAATGTTTGCATACTAGTATACTCTTAACCCCGTGGAGAGATGCTAAAAAAAGGGTGTCTCTACCCGGTCACCATGGCGGGAAATAGCGAAGTTGTTCTCCGGCCCGCTGACTAAACTAGATAGAGACTAAACAGCTACTTGAAAAATCTATTTCAACGGCAAGGTATAGGTTTCGGAGAGGGCGCTCTACAGAAAGAGCGTGCAAGATCCTGATGATCGACAGCAGGAAAGTTATACGCGTTTTTTGTCGACTTTAAGAAGACCGTATGAGCGCGGCCAACTTTTTCGCTGTGATTCTACAAGAGAACAGAGTAACCATTAACAACGAAGGACTTAAACTTCCGCCTCTCACGCAGACAGTTGGCCTACTTTAGGAGAACAACGTAAGAAAAATACTACATCTTGCTAAAAGGCCCCCCTGACCAAACACAAGGGCCGAGAAAGTCAGCTAAAATCTTCTTTCATGCAGACAACTTAAGGATATGCGAGTCGAAAGGGATCCAAGTATAGCAAGCTTTAGGTCGGCTCTACGCTCTGGAACTGACCGTAAACCTGAACAGGACGGAGGCGATATAGTTTAGAGGGAAAGGCAGGACAGCGGCTATTGACACCTTGTACTCCCACCTATGTAAGCGATTTCCGTATTTTGGGTGCGCTTCTCCGTGAACGGCAGTAGCTGCACTGTGCGCGTCGCCGAAAGATACATGAAGGCAGTTTGGCTGCATGGACGATCAAATCGTCTTATCGCTTGTCCCTCACGAGCATCCGCAACCTATTCGTCCTCAAGATAGCTCCGACAGCAACGTGCGGAATTTTTTTTTCCTAGGAAAGATCCTACAATGGAGAACCGCAAACACTTAAATTGAGTCAAAACTTCTTTGCCCAAAAGAGCATTGGGATTACACATAATGGTCAAATATCGCCTCGCATATTTCCTAACCGGCTCCTTATTGCTGTTCGAGGACGTACGTCGAACTACCAGTAACGGAAGCCTTCAACACCAAGCTTAGGAACTGGGAGCAAAAATTATCGGAGGTCGACGAGGATTTCTGTACTTGAGGGGCAGTGAAAATAACGACTGGAAAGGAATGAATGAACCGGCCATGTGAACGAAGAAACGATGTCGTGGCTCACTTTGCCGCGCATGGGTTTTATCGCAGGTTTTTATTTCTAAATTAGCTTTACTCAACAAGATTTGTATAAGCCATGCGTATAATGCGAAACGTTTCAAATGACTCTATTTACTCATTCTGATATTAAAATATTGTACCGCTAGCCTACATACATGAAGTTTTTGAGTATGCAGAGGGGTACGAGATTACGTTACGTACCTTTTTTTTTAAGAGATAAAAATCGTACACTCTAATAACGTTGTACGGCTGCAGCTGTTACTGCGACTGCTCACGCCAGGAAAAGATAGTCTAGGCAATGGGTAGACGAACTTACACGTATTATATATTATTTAAGAACCCCAACAATAGCTAAAAGACGCTATGTGTTTTTCGGAATCCATAAGGGGTCAAAACTGTATCTAATCACCGATCGCTGAGAGAAGCATTTAAAAAGAAGATCGAAGAGCACAGTTCAATATTTGAAGCTATTCAAATATTACATTTTTTTCAGCATTCAAATTTGCAGTCCGCACTTAAGGTATATAATGCAGTTTGTACATTACATTGAATACTAAATAATCTAAAATTTAAAGGAGTAATATCAATTTTAGCACAACATAATTTTTATAATTACTTTGACGTTGAACGTAACCCAACTACGTATCGTATCCAAGCTTCATTGTGAATAGAAA